ATGATCTTGATGTGGTCTCTTCCTCCATTACAGGAAGGGCACCACGAAACTACCCTTTTTTTCTCCCATGTGTCCCAGTTCGTGAACGTCTTGAAGGTCATAATCAACATGTCGCCGGCTGCCGCTCAAAAGTGGTGTTTACCTTGTTCGGTGAGGTGATTGGTCAAGTACCGAGCGCGTAGGAGGTATCGGGCCTCCAATGAACTGGTTCTTATGAGGAAGTTTCTTTGTCTCAGATTGGTGTTCCCAGTACCATCCACGTCGGTTGCTGTTGGAAACAACCCCGCGGGAGAAATTCCTTTAACGGATATACGCATATTTGCATAGACAGCTACCCCACCACCCCACCATGCTTTGGATCCACAGGGGACCGTTGCAGTGCTAGCTACAGGGCTAATTGTTAGTGCTGCCACTAACCGCAGGGTCCTCATCCTTCTTCCAACCTCATCCTTCGAACCACCAACGTCCAATTGAATCACACCGTCGCCATGTCTCTGCCATCAACAATGTGACCAACCTTTCCGACCCGTGCCGCACAAAAGTCCCTTACTGGTCCTGCGCAGGAGCCGAAGCTCTACCCGTCTCCAAGAGAATGAAACGCAGGCGCATTAGGAACCAGAGAGGGTGCAGCTCAGCGCCGGATCCAACCAGTCCAAGACAAGTTGCCGTCTTTGTGATGGTCGCACAGCGTTTCTGAGTCAGCCCCCACGACATGGAAAGACGGGAACGGGAACACGGCAATCGATGGCGGCAATCGGTTGTTTGGCATGTGATTTGCTGATTTGAGACAGGTGGTCTTCGGGTCCTTGATCCGGCAAATGCTCAAAATGCGAAATGCTCCCGAGACACCACAAGGTGCATGTGGGGGGTGATGTTCCATTTATGATGCGGCCGCAGTGGTAGTACGCAACAAAGGGAAAACAATCTGCTAACCAACAAGCGTAGTACACGATGTAGGCTGATACTAATTTCGTTCTACAGCCGTCCACACCATCTTCCTCTCCCTGCGATTCGAGTCCTGTTGAAGGCCGGAGGGTTTACATAGGGACCGTGCAGAATCAGGGTCCCTTGATGGAGTGGTCTAGCCCTATGCGCCGGACTAGTCACCGAGGAGAGCATTATCGGACGGACACTCTCAGCTTGGCACATGTCTGCCCGGAATAGAGTTCGATTCTTTCAGTACCACACGGCTCCTGTCCGCTTCGGAAGCTATCCCGGATACCAATGTTCCCAACCTTTAGAGTAGCAGCCAAGCAACACGTCCATCAGTTATGCCACTCGAGCCGCACAACTTGCCGATCACGGTTATCAAAATGTGGACAAGCAATAGAAAGGACCGTCTGGTGCAAGTAGCAGTTCGGAGACACAAGTTCCCATGTGGCTGTTTGGGAGCACCGTTCCTAAGGTAAGAGATTGGACGATCACTAAAGCTTCAAGCATGCGATAGAGTAGTCGATAGAGTAGTTGGTAGAGGTTCTGGAAACAGTCGAGAATGCTGTAAAAACGTACCACTAACCTTTATCACCGGTGGTGTTCATTATCTGCCGTTCACCGCCGCCGAAAGGTCGGGATCGCAGGCCAGTCAGCACGGCGGTCTCTGGCGACGGAACATCTTGACGGCGCTGGGACATAATCGGCAATAAACGTGCTATAAGCCGAGATACACCCATCAAATATGCTAGAGAAACCTTTGTATTACTTCATCTACAGTTCATATTCATCACCTCACCGCGTTTCGATCCGACATGACCTTCAAAGTCATCATCGTGGGTGGCGGCCCTGTTGGGCTCTACATGGCCCACGCCTTTGAGCGGGCCAACATCGACTATGTGATACTAGAACAACAAGACACCGTCCTGAACATCTCGGGGCAGCTTCTCTTCACCTGGCCCCAGACAGTACGTCTCTTCGACCAAATCGGCCTCCTTGCAGACCTTGAAAATGTCGCTTTAGGTATCCACCACAAGAAGCGTCTCTTCGGCGACAATGGCCAAGTAACCACCACCAGTAACTTCTGGGATGCCATGCAGGACAAGTCAGTTCCTTCTCCCTCCTGTCTCTCCTCTTCCTATCCAGCTCCCTCGACTGATAAAACTGATCACAATACAAACAGCCACGGCTACCCCTTCCTCCCCCTCCTCCGCTCCGAGCTCGTCAAAATCCTCTACAACCATCTCAAAGGCCGGGAATCCAACATCCGCGTCAACTCCCGCGTCACCGACATCCGTCCCCACGCCACCGGCGTGCACGTCCACCTCGCCGACGGCTCTCTCATCCAAGGCTCCATCGTCGTCGGCGCCGACGGCGTGCACTCCCGCACGCGGCAAATCATGGACTCGCTCGTGGCCCAGCACGCGCTCAACCCGGCGCGTCTGGCCAACAAGCCCATGGTCTCGACCTTTTACGGCATTTTCGGCCGGGCGTCCAACGTTGACTTGGGCGTCGAGCCCGAAGTCTTCTTCGAGTCAAGAGGCGGGGGCGGGGAGGGCGGTGCCGTGGTCCAGTGCTTGGCAACCAAGGACATCGTGCAGTTTGTTACTTTGAAGCCGCTTCCCGGTGGTCCGACGAGCGAGCGCAGTCCGCGATACTCGGACGAAGAAATGGATGCGTACGCTGCCTCTCTGGCGGACGTTGCCGTCTGTCCTGGTGTCAAGTTTGGTGATGTGTGGGCCAAGGTGCAGAGGAAGTCGACGAGGATGTTGAACCAGGAGGAAGGCTTTCTCGATAACTGGTTCTTTGATCGCATTGTGCTGGTGGGCGATGCGGTGCACAAGAGTACGAGTGTCAATGGGCTGGGGATGACGTGTGGGCTGCACTCGGGGGCTGTGTTGGCTAATGAGTTGCACTCTCTCCTTTCTCGGCAGTATGAAAAAAAGGAGGAGGAGGAGCCGTCCACGGAGGAGTTGGAGGGTGCCTTTAAAAGGTATCAGGAGGATCGAAAGACCGAGGTCAAGCCGATCTGGAATGGCGGACATGCGATGATTAGGGAGGTGGTGAAGAAGGGGTGGGTCAGCTGGTTCTGGGATCGGTTTGTCCTGCCGTGGTGCGATATGGAGACTTTTGCAAAGGGCTTGTTGGTTTCGGTGTTGCTGATTAGGCAGGGACAGATTTTGAGGTTTGTGCCGTTTGAGGGGAGGGGTGGGAGGGTGCCGTGGGCTAGGAAGGTTGTTGTTTAAGTTCTCTTGATCCTGGGCTTTGGTCTGCGATGTTGATGTCGTTATTTCCTTTGTTGTTCGTCATGATTTATGATTGTTTTGTCGTCTTGGGTGTCGCGCGATAATAGATTGGATCCGTGATTTCTTTACGTTTACTAGTTGAATCAATCTCCTCCATTACTATCAAATATTCCCTTATGCTCTGGCCACTGTCAAATTGTCTATATTTTTGCTAAGCCCAGCCCTCAGTCATCATCAGCACTGTTCACAATAACCCGCGGAATTCTTTATCTATATCATGGTGTGCCTGCTTGGTGAACACTCCGACTTGTACTCGGACGGAACCGAGTAATACCAATCTACAAGGACGGGATATTGTCCATGTATCGATCCTCTTCACATCCAAACAGGCTTTTTTCCATCCAGGGTTCTCCACCGAGAGAAAAGCTCAAGTGTCATAATATCCAATGTTGTCGCCAACCACATCGCAGCATTTCTTCCGCTGTCGGTGCGTAAACAAAGATGCATCTAAAAAGGCTATCATTCAACAAAGCCCGATTAGCTCAGCTGGTTAGAGCGTCGTACTAATATCTTGTTTCCGAGATATCAAGTCCATGCGAAGGTCAACAGTTCAATCCTGTTATTGGGCAAGTTTCTTTTTTGCGGTATTTTCGTTCACGTGTGGATCCTTCCATTGATCTTATCTAGTGGCAACTTTATTTTTTTTGGGTTTCACTGGCCAAAACCAGTCGCAATATGTAACTCATTGATCTTAATGTGTGTATAAGTCGAGTGGACGTAGTGAGGAAGCGGACGAAAAGGTTAGTGGTGTATGTATATGAGGAAGGGATGAACATGTGGAGGGAAAAGAAGAACGAACGAAAGGACGGGTGATGTCGACGGAAAAGATGTTAGTTACATTACATCTGCAAAACCAAACCGAGACAGATAGCGAGATTGAGTTAGCCGAAATTGGCAATGCTACAAAATCACGAATGGTCCCGTTGCGAACAATCCAGATGCGGCTCCGAACCATCTGGTAGGTAGCAAGTGATCCTTCAAGTTCCAAGTTCGACACGATCACCTTGGAACGATATGCCCATAATTACTCTTTTCTGCACCAGACATCTGTTCGGAAAAGCAGACAAACAAAAAGGCGTAAACGTGGAATCACATCCCTAGAGGTACCAAGTACTTATCGGAGTGCTTTTCTGAGAGCACATCTGACTGAGCAACAAGCATCAAGCACTGAAAAGGAAACATAACAAAAAAAGAGAGAGAAGAAAAGGTAAATGAATACAGAAAAAAAATCAAAAAGATATTGAGACTCGGATACCGGGAGTCGAACCCGGGGCTGTTGAGAGAGCAGTCACTCCTGAGAAGTGAGAGTCAACGATGTTACCGCTACACCATACCCGATTGAACTGATATGGTCCGATTTGATTGATGGAAAGACTTCTGCGAGTTGGTGTTATGTAGCAGATGATGAGAAAAACTTTTTTTCCCGTTGATGTGGGGCGGTGGGTTGCTTAGTGGTTGTAATGTGGGGACGGGGCGATCGGGGTTCCTGGATCCAGGTTCATGGGTCGCTGGGTAAGGGCTGGTAGGTTGTAGCAGGATGGGAAAATCCTCGTGAATATGGCATGGTATATAGAGAGATAGTCAAGGTACAGAAAGAGCCAAACGTGACGAGCGTCGTAGTGGATGAAGAACGTGATTCCGAAAAAAGAGTTGGGGACCGCATCCTGGTCTCATAGCGTCTGATAAACTGTTTTTGGAGATTTGAAAACTCACGGTTCATCTGTCAAGGTGGGAAATATGATGTGATACAAGATGTATGTCTATGTCTATGTCTATGTAGGATGATATGTCTATGTGTGTACACAATATTCTAAGAGTAGTAGGAAATGTCTAGCGAGACAAAAGAAACAACCACTAGCAAGCAAAAAGCCACCCCCAAGGTCTAGAAGCCAGATCTATAACAAACGAGCAATCAGAAAGCCAAAATCAAACACCCATGAGCTCTGCAGCTCATATGCATCCCCAATTGTCCTTCAAACATCTCACCACCTCAGCGCAAGGTCGAATTATCAAGGCCCTAAGCTAGCCACTTAAGGGTAGCTAGTAGGAAGGGGGTTGTGGAATCCAAAGACGGACGAAGGGTCATACTGCTTCTTGAGCTTCGCAAGACGGTGGAGCTTGTTGCGGCCGTACATCTGCTCGGGAGTCTCGTCGCCGTGGGCGTAGTTGACGTAGACGGTGAGGCCGTTGTAACCCGAGGTTTTGGCGTAGTCGTTGCGGAGCTCGCGGCCCATGGCGTCGGCGACAGTCTCAACTGGGTTACCGGGGGCGTCCCAGCGCATTTGGATCATGCTGTGGTAGGAACTTTGTTAGTGAGTGGTCAAAGCTGAGGGGAATGGGGTAAAGGCAACTTACACATAGGTGGTAGCGTCTCTCCAGGGGTAGGCAGTCTCAGAGTCAGGCACGGCGACGACGGCTTGGTTGGGCCAGGTCTCGAGGACAACGGAGGAGGATTGTGCGGCGGGCTGCTCGTTCCAGAACTTGGCGAGCTTGTTGAAGGTCTTGACCCAGGTGTTGGCGTCGTGACGGCGGAGATTGACACCGTAGATGTCGAAGACCTGAGAGTTGGCGCAGACCTCCTTGTCCAAACCCAGGGCGGTTTCCTTGCTCATCCTCTTCCAAGGGATGGCCTTGATGTCCTTGTACCAGGGGTTCAAACGAAGGAGCGGCTGCATCCACCTGCGGGCCTCGGCCTCGGAGCCGCCGGCGTAGGTGCTGCTGACGATAATGGTGGGCTTCTCGGTGGTCTGGTTGTAGGACATGATGGTCTCGACGGTCAGGCCGGGCGGGAGGTACATGTTGGCGACGGTGTTGAAGAGAGTGACGTTCTGCTCGGGCTCGTAGATGAGATCGAAGCTGATGATGTCACCCATGGACTTGTGCATCTTGTAGGTGGCCTGGGTAATGATGCCAAAGTTGGCACCGGCACCACGAATACCCCAGAAGAGTTCAGGGTTCTTGGTCTTGGAGGCCTCGACAATGTCGCCGTTGGCAGTGACCATGCGGACGGACTCGAGAGCATCAATGACTAGACCGTGAACACCGTCAAGACGGCCAATTCCGGCGCCAATGGTGGCGCCAATCATGCCAACGCAGCTGCAGGTACCAGTCTGGACCTGATAGCCAGCATCAGAAACAACCGGGAAGACATCAGCGAAGATGACACCGGGGCCGATGGTTACAGTTTCACGTTGCTTGTCAATCTTGACATCCTTGAAGTGGCTGAGGTCGATGGCCAGACCTTCCTGACATTTGCCAAGGGAAGTACCATAGCCGTGGCGGCCACCAGTAGCAAGGAAGGGGATGTTGTGCTGCTTAGCCATCTTAACCAAGGACACGATATCAGCCTCGGTGGTGGGCGTGATGGCGGCCTGGTACGAGGGCGGGCGGTAGACGTCCCAACGCTCCGTGACACTGAAGAAGTCTCCCGAACCGGGGAAGTGCACTGCGGTGGTGTTGGACAATACCGGGGTAGTGTCACCAATAATGGTTCTCATGTCCGCCCCCTGGCGGCGGTAGGCGTTGGTCGCAGGAGAGGCATTGATACCCCCGGCAAGAAGGGCCGAGGTGAAGAGAAGGGAGGAAGACAGATGCATCTTGAAGGCAGAGTTGTCAAGAAAGGTCGCTCAAGATTGTTAGGTGGCTGGTTGCTGGAAAGAGGCTGAAGGGGTTTTTTGATGCTTTGGTGTTGAGTGATGAAGGGATGAGTGGATGCTGAGATGATGATGTGAGTGATGATGAGAATTATCGTCGAGAATGAGAGAAACAAGTCTTCCTTTATACATGGAGATCACCATTGTGTTCTTCGTCTTCAACACCCATATTGGGTGGATGATGAGAGCATCACGGCAACACCGAGCATCTGAGCAGAGGTGTATGCTCTCCTGGCCACATTCGGTGATTCTTCAACATGAATCATAATGTTGATGTTGTTGAAGCTATCACCACAACCCTTGTGTGTCTGTGAGGCATATGCCTTTCCGAGGTGGTTAACCTGCTTGAGGTAAACTCCATCATGATATCTGTCGTAAGCTTTTCAACGCAGGTACGAGGCACCGAGTGGTTCCATGACGGAGTGTCCATTGGCCCACAGTCTCAAACCATAATGAGATTGACAGTGTAACGGGTCATGAGCCCCAAGTGTGGATATTGTGATGCCACCCGAACCGAAACTCCCTTAACCCATTGTGTATGAGAGGCACAGATAGCTTGTGGATGAGGCTCTCCAGTTCTCGGCCTAATTCTGGATGGAGCAGAGGGGAGCTGACACTGGACAAGAGAGAACAGCCTCAATGCAGGAACAAGTTGCTTGCAGATACCACAACCTGAACCTAGTCGCCAGTAAGAATGCTTCGAGGGGCATTGGCTTTCTTGGTAGCGCACATGTCATGGGTGAGAAGGTTGTCTGAATGAGAAAGCATCCAAGAAACTTCTTTCCGTGCCCAAATCGCCATGGTTTTCGGTCAGCGTGGAAACGTGACAAAAGAGCTGAAGCCATCAACCCGACTGACCTTTGTCCTAATCTGGCTGAAAGTAAACAAAGGTACGCTCTGCCTTGAAGCCTCGGCCGTACTTTTGTGTGAACTGTTTGTGGGCTGATGGTGAATCATGTCGAACGTGACGGATGAGTGACATCTGGGGTTCCAGATAGCCAATGGGTGGATAGTTGAAGGAGCATTAAGGTTGATGGGCTGGACATTTCACAGCACCATCCAGTATCAATTTGGTGTCAAGCTAAACCGGGTCTTCGGGTCATCTCTGGTGTGGGAAGATTCGGAGCAGCATTCTTGTCGCCTTGGCAGGGCAGAGCAACAGAAGTTGGTCGTACGATCTAGCCGCAGTGCAGCGGCCCTGACACTGACAGCAACCCATATGCCAGGCTTGAGTCAATGTCCATGATTGGTATTATGCCAGATGGAGTTAACATGGCCGGATCGACTGGGTTTGGATCTCTGCCACGTGCGACAAGATTCACTGCTGTCGTCGACGCCTCTCGTGGCATCGTGGCTTGAGGAATCGTTTCAACGTACTGATGGTGGTCAGGAAGCTATGATGATTCGTCTCGCTTGTCGCGTTGTTCCGTGACTGTGCCCGTCTGTGGCATGCTTGGATCGTGGATTTTACCAGACACAGGAAAAGGTGTTGTGTCGTCGAACGTGTTATGGCGGCACAGTTCAGGGCACAGCTTCCATGCCAGGCTGATGCCAGTGTAACCCACCTAATACAACCACTATCGATAAGCCCTGAAGCCCCACCATCTCAGCTCTCCATCGGCCGCCATCAGCTGTCCTCTCAAGGACTCACGGGCCCACTAGCCCTTTTCAGACGGTGTAACGTACCTCTACTTGCCCAGTTCAGCCTCTAACAACATTAACACCACTCTTCTTCAACTTCACCAGCGAGATTCGGTATGAGCAATGGCTACATACGTTCTAGAAAAGAAGCGAATCTGTTTATGCCTCACTCGACGATACGGCGGCCAGGTAGCTTGGCATGATTCATTAGGATTCATTCTCTCAAACCTCGACCAGCACTTTCCGTTTCTGTTCCCCAGTCAACATCAAAATACACTCGCCCGCATCAAGAGATCGTAAAGAGATACGCATGGTGGAGTGGCGTCAAAGCTATCCTGTCATCTGGACAGAATCCGTCAAACACCCCCGAGGATGCGGTTGGTTAAGCGCCATTGAGTTGACACCTTCTGAGATGCTTCTCCTCCAGACACTCCAAGACGGGAAATTGGGTGCTTTGGATGGAAATATCATGATACTGACTGAAAGTTGAATCATGGTGAGTTGAAAAGATCAAAGTCAAGTCGAGTAGTAAAGATGAGGGCCTCTTCACGCAGTTGAGAATCCATATAAACCATCGAAAGTGTCATGGTTAAGGGGTTCTGTTCGACATCAACTCCTCATCATCATCTCATCACACAACAACCTGACAAGAAGCAGTCAAAATGGCTCGTCTACACCGCTTCGCTGTATCTTCAGCACTTCTTTTGCAATCCCTCGCTTTTGCTTCCCCGGAGCCATGCCTCAACGGACTCTGTCACTCCACCCGCAACAGATTGGCAAGCAGGACAGTTGCCAGTGAGCTGGGTCTCCAGCTCTCGGCAAATTGCAATGTTTACGGCCCCGATGATACGCAGTTCGGTAATTGCACGGCTCGATATGACCCCTTCTTCACTCCAAAGATTCAGATGGTGGTCCAGCCCGCCACGGAGGAAGACGTCCCCAAGATTGTACATCCCCAGCCCTCTTTTTGTCACTCGTAGCAAGAACTCGGCTGACTCCAACCAGGTTCAATATGCCAGCGCCAATGGCATCCCTTTCCTTGCCATGGCTCGGAGACACGGCATGACAAGCACCTTGTCAGAGTTTGACGGTATGCAGATCGATATGTCCCTCCTTGATAAGATTGAGATTCAGCCAGACGGAAAAAGCGCTATCCTCGGCGGCGGCGTGTTTGCCAAGAACATCATGGAAAAGCTGTGGGATGCTGGTTATGTTACCTGTAAGTCTTTTTGTCTATTTTCTCTATATCCTTAATGCTAAATCCTCTTAGCATCCGGAAGCACGTCCTGCGTTGGCCTCCTCGGTCCAGCTCTGGGCGGAGGCCGCGGCCGTCTCGAAGGCTACTACGGCGTCGTCAGTGACAGTTTCCTCAAGCTCAACGTCGTTCTCGCCAATGGCACCGCCATCACCGTCTCCGAGACCGAGCACCCTGATCTCTTTTGGGCCATGAAAGGCGCCGGCCATAACTTTGGCGTCGTCACCAGCCTCGAGATGAAGATCTACCCCCGTGGCGTCGACACCTGGTACTACAAAACTTATATCTGGACCCAAGATAAACTGGAAGCCGTATTTGAAGCATCCAACGCTTTCCACAACGACGGCAACCATGCCGGCCATCACCTCAAAGAAATGGCCTTCAACATGGGCAGCTACACCATGATTCCCAGCATCAGCGAGACCGAAGGCGTCATCTTTTGGTCTTTTGTCTACCGCGGCTCCAAGGAAGAAGCGCAGCCGTACCTGGATGCTTTTGACGCCATCGAGGCGGTCTCCACCGAAGACGGTAACGTCCCTTACCCTGAGATCCCTGGCGTGTCTGGCACCGGCATGAACAGCGCGCTGTGTGACTACGGCTTGAACCACGTCCACTACCCCGCAGGCTTGAAGGTGTGGAACGTCACTACCCAGCGCCAGATCTACGACCTGTACAACGAGAAGATCCGGGAGTACCCCGAGTTCCAGCGCACGACCGTCAACATGGAAGACTACTCGCACGAGGGTGTCGACGCTATTGACCCTGACACTTCGGCTTATCCGTGGCGCGATAGGGGTCTTCTCAGGTACGCCTTTATCCCTTCCCCTTTGTCCTCCTCTCCTACCTTTCATCACTAGTGAATCACACTAACACTATGTCCAAAGCTTCATCGCCGTAACCTACGACCCCAACCCCGCTCTCGACGAAGCCGCCATTGCATGGGCCCAAGAAACCCGCGATCTCTGGAACGCCGGTGCCCCCGATCTTCTTCCTAGCACCTACGTCAACTACGCCCATGGCGACGAGTCGGCCGAGTCCATGTACGGTTACGAGCCCTGGAGGCTGGAGAAGCTCCGCGGATTGAAGGCGCAGTATGATCCGGATAACCTATTCAGCTACTACAACCCTATCATCCCGAACATGAACCCTAGGTCTACGCATGAGTCGAACTTTCAGGGCCGTCAGATTGGGGCCAAGTCGAGGAGCCGTGGGCAGTAGAATGAATGGATAGGGATGTCATAGATGATGGATTTTTCCTTTTTTTTGGTGACGAGGAACTAGTCTAGATGTGGAGGTTGCAGCTGCTCTTGATTTGTTTCTTTTGTGTTTCCTGATTGGTTTGGGTGGTGTGATAGACTTGATAGATATAGGCGTTTATATATTCATGGCTTTTAGACATTGGAATAGAGTAGAGTTATTGTTTCAACCACGCAAAGCCACGGGTTCAGTCACACCGATGGTGTCGTGATCATCCCGCCCTCAACCAACGGGAAGGCAGATCTTCAGATGGTGGGAGCGAAACAGATGGGCGACCCTTCACGCGTGAACCGTTCTGCTGGGATATGTCGTGAACCATGGCCTGCACCACATAAGAACTCTATTCCACTTTCGTGATTGTTCATGCACTTTTTTGTACCTCTACTGAGCAAACCGAAATCCTTGTGGTTGATATGGTTGATGTCGATTTAAGGATGTTGCGCCAGCCCGCTGGACGTTTCTTTTGCAAAGTCCAGCGAGAACGTTGTTCAACCTAGGCGAGCGCTTTCCGTTAGAGTGCTGCAGGTTTAGCAGCATTTCAGCGGCCTACAGCAGCCAGTCACTAACACTTACAATGTCCTTCCTTGTTTCCGTAAACATCTTAGCGCCAACATTTCCTGACTCCACCAATAGAGGTACCCACCATTTTGCCCCACTGACAATGTCCTCCCGTCGTTGAGCCCGGCTCCTGAGGTGTGCTTGTTCGCCAACTTCATCCCCAATCCCTTCCATCAACACTCATCGATCGTAAACCCGAAACCAGATCTCTGGGAAGCAACTCAATCCGACCACATTAATGAGAAACTTCACACGTGAACCCAATTGATCGAAACATTGCACTCAGCCACTGGAAGTCCGCCCGACTCAGCTTAGCTAGACATGACAAGCGACGCCGTACACACACGGTCTCCGCATCACGACACAATGTGTCAGTCACCGCAGAATACCGAGAGCATTTGCCAATTCGGTCGATTTGATCATGATACCTTACCTACCTTCTCGAAGCTTGACGCACAGTCGTTCGATTACTACCCACTTGATGATACCGTTGCTTTTGCACGTGGACGGGGCAGGATATGCATACGAAGGCTTCGCGATCACAATGCTAGATGTCGGAGCTGCGTCTGCACTCTGCACGGCGGCAGGTCCCGTCGAGCTGAGTATATCGTTTAATTCTCTAGGGTGTTCTTCCCTCCTGCCCCTGGCGAAGCTTATCTCCGTGGCTTCGCCTGCGAAAAGGCTTGAGTGAAGTTAGTCTTTGTGTAAGCTGATACGTGTGAGAAGATGTAGCGTACACAGTTGTCGTTGGTATCTGTTTGATGACATTGAGGCCGTGGGAGCCTAGGGGTATGTTGTAAAGATTGTTTCTTCACATCCCGAGCGGGTCTAGAGTTTATTTGCTTGACATGATGTGGCATCTTCTTATCTGACTCTCCCAGTTTAGCACCGCACTCTTTGTGATATTCGGTTCCTGAACGTACTCCCACGGTTGTTTCTGGGTATCTGAGCTTCCAACTTGGTTCCAAAAATCTCAACACTGACTATACACGCCTTTTCCTTTGAAGTTTGAAATCTTGTTATTCTTTCTGCACCAAAGGAATGGCATGATCGCCCTGTTCAGCTGATGCCATCTCGATCACCTCATCCCACTTAAAGCAGCCTAAGACTCGGAGAAGAAGGCGAGCTTTGCACTCGAAGCTATGAAACCCATTCACTGTTAGTGCTAGATCTGGTGTTGATCAACGTCACCGGCCGGGTTTATACCTATGCATGGAATTTGGTTCCTTGCAATCCAAACCATGTTTGTCAACTGTCAATACGCGATTCGGATCACGCACCCTCACAGCACTGTTAACGATTTCTAATCCACCTTTCGTCTATGACTGAACTTGAACAAGTTGAGCAATGTGATGAAATGATTTAGCCTCCAGTAAACGTCTAGCGGCCGCTGTTGACGAGTTCTAACAAGAAAAAAGTCGGCGTGTAATAGCCCACTCAGCCTCCGAGACCTCTCACCCTAACTTATTCTGGGGCATGCGAGGTGCCGGCCACAAGTTGGGCGTCATTGTCGAGCCCACCTTCAAGACCTACCCCGACAAGGGCGGCATGCACTACAACGCCGACATGATCTTCACCGACGACTCCATCGACGGCGTCCTGCAAACCACAAAGAATGTCATCAAAACCGGCCTCGACTGCTCCGTCTTCTTCTTCGAAGCCGCTTCACCGCACGTCATCGCCTCGGTGCCCGATGAAGCCACGGCCTACCCGCACAGAGGCAAAATGCTTACCAACGCCATCATCCAAGTGACTTGGGGCGATGAGGAGTGGAAGTGGGAGGGGCTGACGGCGTTAAAGAGGGAGTATGATCCCGCTGTGTACTTTGATGGGTATCATGGGATCCCGAGGGTGTTGGAGGGGTGGTATGCCCCTGGGGAGGATGTGGGAGTAGGGAATGGGCGGCAGAAGCCCCTCACTATGCCTCATGAGGAGCTGTAGGTAGGTAGGTGATGTGGGCTTGGCGTGGGTGAGAATTTGCCTCTAGGTATGGGTGGTGAGACTTGGGAAGACTAAGGTACCTAGGCTTACTGGCTCGGTAACATAGCTTAGACGTTGAAGTACCTCCAGGTAGATCTGATGTGGTAGTAGTGTAGATTCCATCATCCTACTACCTATCAGTGAAGCCAATCGGCGTGGTGCCGTGCCATGTCGTGGCTCCGAAAGAGTCGAACCAGAGAGCTGTGCCACCTACCACCTCGCTTGGGTGCGCATAAACCCCCCGTACCAACCATCCACTACCAAAAAAACGGCGGGTTTTCAATGCTTCGAACCAAGGAAGGAGGAGCTGTATAATAAATATCGTCAAGAGAAGTGGTCGCACTATCCCGTGTCTATATCATCCACGCAATGAGTGATGTTTGTGTCAGCAGTTGTTCCTTCCCTAGATGGGGGATCGAAAGGTATCTAAGGAGCGATGGAGAGTATTTGGGAATTGGGAAAGAGCGACAGTAGGTAGGTGTCAGTGATCTTCAATCCCTCTTATTCCGTCATATTATCGAGCCAATGATCAAAGGACGATCTAAAATCGAAACCACAAAGCACCGCACTTGTCTCCCGGAGTCTGGTGGGCACAGATTATGCATGGGGCAGGTGCAAAGAGAATAGTCCTCGTAGCGAGACGTGGCATTTCATTTTGAATGCTCACACAAACTATAAAGAGAACACATGGTGAAGACGAAGCAGACTGAATTGAGTACCTAATGTCTAATTCCACACTCCCACTGCTGGCTTTCTCGTGTATTCTCATTCGCCATTGGAGTCCCCTGAACAAGTGATGAAGACAGAGAAACCTGTCGAGTCTATGTATGGCAAGGTAGTCAAGGAAGAAGCCAGACACCACTCAGCCGTCAATAGGAACAGCATCAGGGTACCTCCTTCCGGCAATCTCAAACTTTTTCAACGTCTCATCAATCTTCTTCAGGTCCTCGCTAGTCAACTCGATATCCACATTATTCTCCTTGACCCTCTCCGCGGTAGTCGCACCAGGGATCGGGATAACCGTCGGGTAACCGGGCTTCTTGCTCAGCGACTTGACCCAGTTGATGGCCAACTGCGCGGGCGTGTATCCCTTCTTCTTGGCCAACTCGTTCAGCTCGCTAACCAACTGAATGTTCAAATGGAAGTTCTCGGGGTAGAACCGGGGGTAGTGCCTGCGGAAGTCGTCCGCGGCCAGATCGTCAAGCGTCTTGATCTGACCCGTGAGCATGCCCTGGCCGATGGGCGAGTAAGCAATCAATGGGATGCCAAACTCGGCGCAAGCCTCAGCGACGCCGTTCTCCAGCGTGTGCGTCGCCCAAAGGGAGATCTCAACTTCCACGGCAGCGATCTTGGTGATCTTGACTGCCTTGCGGATCGTCGCGGCCGAAACCTCAGAGAGACCAATGCCGCCAATGATGCCCTTGCTGACGTACTCGTCCTCGAGGTACTTGAGCGTCTCCTCAAGCGGCACCTTGGGGTCGATGCGGGCGGGCTCAAAGATGTCGATCTTGTGCGTGCCGTCCAGGTCGGCGAGACAGGCGTCGATGGAGCGCTTGAGTCCCGCAGGCGAGCAGTCGGGGATCATCTGCGGGAAGAGAAAGGCACCCTTGACCGAGAGGACAACCTTTTCAGCGTCTTCGGGGTACTGCTTGAAGTAGGCAGCCAGAAGCTTTTGAGTGTTCCAGTCAGGCGAGCCGTAGAATTCACCGGCGTTCCAGAAGTTGGCGCCAGACTCAAGGGCAGCGCGCATGGCCTTGAAGGCTTGCTCTTTGGGAGTGGGAGGGTTTTTGGTGCAGAAGCCTGGGGGTGCGTTAGTCTGACTTGATTATCTCGGCAGGGACTGTAAAGATGGGGTCACGTACCCATGAGGCCGTAGCCAGTGGGACCAACTTGCTTTCCGACGAGCTGAGGCATGGTTGCGATGATGGTTGTTTGGAGGACAAGTAATGCTCCTGAGAGTCAAAGTGTGCTTTGAGGTCGAAGTAGGTTGAGGCGATGGAGTCGAGTGAAGCCTTGTGATACTGATGCTGATGCTGATGATGAGTGAGATGAGGATGGGAATAAGAAGTCCTTGTGTCTCTTGGGGTGGCCTGATTTATATCTGCGGCGTGGAGGACTTGTGCTCATTGAATTTGAGGGATCAGGGTAGACGGAACTTTACAAACCCAGTGTCAGACTAGATACCGGATTCGGACGTGTGAGGTTTGGTTTTCATTGCAGCATAGGATTCCTCATGTGCTCCTGGCGGATTCTGCAGCATGCAGGCCTTGGAAGAAGCGGAAGGGACCACTTGGGCCATGGCGACTGGAGATAACGCGCGTATGTTGAGCCCAGCCTTGGGTCCGTTGGTTACCAATCTCTCGGGATGGAGAAACAAACAAAAAAAAGCTTGATAATAGTTGAAGTGTTCTAGTTGGAAGAAGCTTTGCCACTAAGTGAAATATCGTCAGTTCAATCGTCGTCAGCTATCGCTGAGCTGCTTTCGTTTTGGAAGCCCATTGAGAGCTTTGTCCGAATCGGGAAACTGTTCTGTGATTGGTCAAATTCTCAGATTGAAGAGCAACAGACTGACGGAGTGAGAGTCGCGCCATTGGCGGCCGTTCCGAGCACCTGTTGGTTGGTCTTGACTGTCACCTTACCCTCGCTTACCTAACCATCCTCGAAGCCTTGAAGGGCTGATCCAACCCCGCGAAGTCTTTGTCATCAGCGGTGAATTGCTCGTACCTGTTCGGAATGTCCACTGCGGTGTCCGGGAGCGCGCGGGATCTCGTCGTCGTCGTCGTCAGAACTCTGATGAGGGACGGACAGGGAGTCCATATACATCTTACTTGATTGGCCGGTTGCAATTTAAGGTACAAAGTGTGGAACTTTTGCTGTGGAGCTGCCTAACGCATCCCTAAATGCGGTGGAGTTTGGGGTGTGTAGGTCCAGCCGTTTAAGTGCATATCCCTACCGAATATTCATCAATAGGGGAATAAGGTGGTTCACGACAAGCCACAGCGTCGTGCCGCTCTGTGCCATTGGCCAAAGTCACACGTTCATCTCACGCTGCTCATGTCCGGCACTTGTCAACGGTAGATTTGTCAGTTTCCCATGGCTGAAAGCATGCAAAAGGCCCAAGGCTGAAGAAGCGAAGCCACAAGTCCCTACCACACTGCTTTGCCCGCTTCTTGGTACCTGGCTGGGAGGGCTCTCCTTTGTCTCAAGACAAGACATATCGGTTTCCTTTCCGACGAGGCCGGTGAACCATCGTTCTGTCTGCACATTTACATGTTCTGGAATCCGTACACTCGCATACATTACACCCTCTTCTGCGCGCCATCAATGTAACGGACTGCAGAATCCCCTTATCATTCTGATTCATCTTACTCCTTCAATCTCACCTTTTCTTCTTTCTTCTGAATCCTACGATTCCTCTCTGATATTGACGATCCTGACCGTTGAGCAGACTTCACTCATACAAAACACATCTCACAATGGGCAAAGGGTTCCAGTTCATAGACTCGACCAAGACCGATAGGGTCACCAGGAGACTGGTTCGAAGTCATGCCATGAAGGGCAAGAATGTCGGCAAGGTGCTTCACCGTCGATCAAGGCTGGAGTTAGATTTACATGCACCCCGGCCGTCCAAGAAAGCATGCACATCCACTGCCTGTAACCTTCTCCCCCAGCAGGGACAGCAACCCACCAGCGCCAGCACCAGCACTGGCAGACCGAGTAGCACCAAGAGTAGGAGCAAGAGTCCAGAAGAGACTCCTAGTCCCAGTGACGGCTCGAGCTCCACGGGAAGCAGCAGCTACATCACCACTCCAGCTTCGAGTGTCACCGATATTACCAGCAACGACTTCCTCTTCCTCGACGATCTGGACAACCTTGACTGGTTGGCCGACATCGAGAACCACGATATTGATGGTTACATTGCGGATACCCTCACCTCTCCGCCGGTGGACATGTCGTTCCCAGGGCAGCAAGTACAACAGTCGTCGCTTATTCTCCAAGCACACACCCAGAAACCGCTTAGCCCGACACTGGGAGCACGAGACAGCCTATTCACCCTTGCCTTCCCCGTTCAGGCAACCCCACAAAGTCAATATGTCATCAGCCAATGTACGTCCTGTTAGTGTACCCCTTCACCAGCTCTCACACTTACTAACACTTACACCTATCTAGTTTTCGGCATTGTCATCGATGCACTATACCCTCCCCAACTGGTCCGAGGTGCTGCGAAGGCTTATGATTATTGGATTGGCACTCTCTTCCAGGACAGGACCTGTAAGCCAAGCCTCTCTTCACTCCCATCCCTTTAGCAATGGGAGTGAGAACCCTAACTGAGTGTCTCCCGCTAGCTTTCCATTGCGCCATAGCCCTAATGGCTGCCCTCAGTGACTTTTTCTTTGGTGATCAAGCCCTGACACCAGACGCCATCTACCATCTGAGCCAGGCCATCCACATGGTCAACCAGACTCTGGAGACTAACGGCGCCTTGTCCGAGTCCAACCTCGCCGTTGTCAACTTTCTTGTCATCCAAGAGCTGTTGAGAGACCCATTCAAGTCCAAGGCCGAAGTCCACTTAAAGGGTCTCCAAAGAATGCTAGAGCTACGTGGTGGGTTGAACTCACTGGGGGAGGACAATCCTCTCGGTATCAAAATAAGCAAGTAAGTCGCCGGTCTAGCATGAATCCTGTTTGATCCTCTCATCCTTCATCCTCTCCCTCCCAATTCCTGCGTCATCTTGCTTAACCGCCCAAAAACAAGACCACTCACATCTCCTCTCCCACCTTACAGAACAGCAGTAGACTATGCCCTCCACCGCGGCACCCCCATCCCCGCCCCGTTCTACCGGGACCGCATGTCTTCCATCCGCGCCCGTCTGCTTTCCGAAGGCTTCATCCTTTCTTCCCCTCCCTCCCCACTTTTCTCCTTCTTCTCTCCCCTCTCACCACCATCATCGTCATCATCCCTGTCGGGTTCCGGTAGCCTCTGCAGCGTCCAACAACAGATGCAAATTCACCCCTTCCTCTCGCAGATCCTCTCCGACGTCCTGTCCATCACCACCCTCCTCAACTCCCCCTTTCTCAACTTTCGTTTCGAACCACACACCCTCCAAGAATTCCTCGTGTCGGTGGGGTGCCGTTTGATTCGCTTTCGGCCGCTGTCTTATTACCAAACCCAAACCCAAACCCCCAAGAAAGGAAAACGACCACCACCACCACTTCCATCAACAACGCAAAAATCCCGTATAGAATCAGCCATCCACCTTGGTCTGATCGCTTTAACCACCACGCTCTTCCTGCAATTCGGTCGTCGTCGCTTCTTGCGCTACGAACTGGTAAAAGACTGCATGACCAAGTTGATATCCGAGTGGGATTACTGCTCCTCATCTTCTTCTTCTTCTCCTGCAGAAAATGTCGAAAACCAAACCCTTCTCTGGCTCCTCCACATAGGCGGCATCTCGGTGCTAGCGGGGCCAGAAGAACAAAAGTGGTTGGCGCCCAAGGTGCAGGAGTTGGCGTGGGGGGTCATGGGGATCTTGGACTGGGAGGGATCGGGATCATCTGCTGGGGGCATCAAGGAGTGTTTGTTGCGGTTTCCTTGGGTCGATTCGTTGCATAGTGAGCCGGGTAAGGCGATGTGGGATTCTTTGGGGGTTATGGGGATGGTGATTGTCTGAGAGGGGTTTCTTTTGTGTGGGGATAAGGTTTCGTTATTGGTTCTTTTTTTTTTTCTTCTTTGTTGAGGGGGACGGAGTTGAGGCTTAGAGGAGCAAATAACTGTGTTCAAAATAAATGGCGTTGGTGTCAATTTTGATCCTTGCTTGTGTGCCGGGTTGTGGAATGTGGAGGACTTGGTTGTGACAGTTTAACCGGTTGATTCGCCCGTCTTTGAATAGCGAGATATTGAGTGGTGTTGTGTTAGATGGATGAATGACGGGCGTTTGTTGTTACATGAGGTTGAAGAGGTGTCCTTTCTTGATTCTGGGTTCTGCATATAAAATATATCCATACTAGCAAGGTTACTAGCAAGGTCCCCAGGGGCAAGTTTTAGACGGTCTTTTACTGGTTATGCTCCAACAATAAGAAGTGCGTGCTTTTGCCGAGTAGTACTTATGACTTGGTTTTGAACGACGTTTGTTCTGTGAAATAAGTTTCTCGTATAGAGAGAAGGAAGGTAGGAAGAGGGTATGAAGGAACCGAAAGGTATATGCCTCGGGGAATCAGTGAATAACTGTATTAGACATGTCGTCCTCAACTACACTCCCAGCTCAATCCACGGTTATATTCTCATATGCTCGGTGCGTCATTGGCCATGTGATTCCGTAGAATTCTTGGTTGGATCTCTTTGAAGATGTTGACTCAGCGATAGTCTTTGTAGAATAGAAAACGTGGTGATCGGAAGAGGAACTGTAGTCCAGAGACTTGTCTCAGCTGTGTCTGTATCCAAAGTTCCCAGGTGGTTGTCCACAACTACTATTTTGTCATTCTTCCAGCCCTTGCCATCGCCGAAGTGTTGGGCTTCAAGTCCCATCTCGCATAACGATCATGAAATGCTGCTCACTGTTGCTCATGCAGTGTTTCTCGCATATGTACGCGATATCCCTCATTATGCAGTCCTATGGCCTTGCAGTATGATATCAGCCATACTGATTGCAGTATCGAAATTTGATGCGTGCTCGCCTTCACTCGAGAACGCAGCCCACTGACATGCAGGAGAAGGAGATAAGATCAAATGACAACACGTCAAGACGTAGAATCCTACACGAACCTTGCAGTTAGGTTGGCGACGACTCCCACAGTTAGCAAAGCGAGTGATATGTACCGTAGGAAGGTGCCGACAGTAAGGTACGTGGCTAAGTATACTGGTGGCTGCCGATACAAGTAAGGTGAGAGCGGATACTTGCACTTTGCACCAAATTAACAAAATGATGGACTGACTGGGTATGAATAGTAGGTAGTCATTCGGAACTGACAATTTCCCAGTTATGCGGTGCGAATACGTTCATCAACCACAACTTGGATATGAGCTACACGATGAGCGCATTCAAGAAGCCACCAATGATCTTCACAATGTGTCGCCTGCAAACCCGATGATGCAAATGAAATGACCAAAGACCACGCATCCCACACCAACGACGATCTGGAAGCTCCGGCCCAGAACAATTTCTCCCGGTCATGCCACAACCTCAAACAGCCGTCATCAAGAAATGAAAGATCCCTCAACGCACCCAGGAACCCAACCTCCACCAACAACACCACCACCCATGATCATTTCCTCCCATCCACCCCAACCTCATATCCCCCATCAGCATCCACAACCTCCACACTCAGACTCGACCTCCTATACCTCCCCCACCCCCCAAGCCAGGTGAATCCGCCAACCCTCCTCCATCGTCCTCCTCCCCCTCTCTCGTCCCCAAATGAAAGGTCCCACTAACCCCACCACAAAAACTTGACCCCCTCCTCCTTTGCATGATCGACAACGGACTGGGATGCGGAATCTCTTCCGGCGCCGGGTGCGCAGACCCAATCATGCCAACATCCACCGAGTTCCCGCGCCCGGCTTTGCACAAAGCGTAGTCACCCGAGTCAAAGTACTTGCGCTCTCGGAGGTGGCGGGCGAAGCGGGTGGTTGCTGCGTTGTTGGTTGCGCTGGGACCAGTGCTTGTTATGGTTGCCGGTTGGAGGGAGGAGCCCGAGTTTGGAGCGGAGGTGTAGGGCGTCGTTGAAGTGGAGGAGGGGGCTGGTGTGGAGGGCGGTTTGGATGCGAGGTTAGAGGGAAGACGGCCGTAGAGGCGGAAGATGCGTAGGTCCTCTTCGGAGAGGGACTGGTTGGGTACTTAATTTAGTAGATAGTCATGAATGTGGATGGGGTGGAAAGGGGATAAGGTTGAAAAGGGGAGGGGGACTCACGGATGTGTCGAAGCCCTGGTTCGGAGGAGCAGCCATTTTGGGAGTTCAACAGGTATGCGTGTACCGTTGCTTTGTTTTGTCAAAGCCCTTGTGGGGTAGATGCTGTTCTCGACGATTATGATGAATACTTGATGTAACTGTGTTTGGTTCGTTCGTCGAATCGTAAGATACGTTCTACTCACCAGTCGTGTTATGTGTCTAGCACTAGTGTAAATGCACTGTGGCGGTGGTCGAGTCACAATCTTATACCCAATAGTCCAGAGTGTCAGTATCTCGGAGACGTTCGAGTCGGTAGGTCGGATCTGAAAGAATAAGACGGAATTGTGGAGGCGATCGGATAGGAAAAAGATGGGACGGAAACCGATGAACAAATTCTAGGAAGATAAAACAACACTGACGTCGATGTGAGACTTGTGTTTGCTTATCCAACCGAGCCGGCCACCCACCCCTCTGATTGATGAACTCTTTGATCGTTCAGAAAGATAAATCAGGTGGAAGAAGGACGGAGCCGCCCATTTGTGTGACATGCAGGCCGCTTCTTATTCATTTTTGTTTCCCTGCTTCTCACCACCAAAGCCCTCTTTATCTCAACGGGTAGGGTATCCCGTACCATGGTTGCTTCCTCGACCCCACCTCTACCCGAAGCAAAACTAGACAGCGAGTAAATTCCCGACCATCAACAGCCAAGTTCACACACCAATCCCGATACAGTACGCATCTGAGCTTCACCTATGTACACACAACTCCCTCCCCACGATCATCACTCCTCCATCTGGACCTTCCATGTGGATAGATGAGACGCAATCCTAAATCGGCCCATTGATCTGCTGATTCTAGTACGTTCGGCCCTGCAGGGACCCTTGATCTATCCTCAAGGACGCCAGCACGGAGATGCAACAAAACTGCACGGGCGACCCCGTGCGGTGATGTCGTGGAACACGTTGAGTGACCCCCCTCCACTTGATTCTGCATCTTGATTGGCTGGATGGGGCCGTGTAAGTCGTCAACTCTCTCCACTTTTCCAATTCTGGACTTTCAAATCTGATAAGTCGACGACCCCTCGTGACCCCATCTTCTTCTACTTGCCAGATCCTCCCGAACTGGAGGAGGAGGAGGAGGAGACCCTCACCTCAACTCAATCTCCATATATATGTACAAGAAAACTCGCTCAGACGCGAATCTACAGTATACGACTGCAAATCCCCCACCGGGTCCGGAAAGGACTTCCGGCGCGGGGTTCAAGAGATAACCCGCAACACTACCTACATACACTACAACTCTATGTATGTACATATGTAGTATGCTATTTTGAGATGCGCTTGCGTCGTCGACACGGTAGACGCAGTTAATGGTGATATGGCTAAGTACCTATATAACTCGTGCGTCAGTCAGGTCGCTGATGATCTCTGGCCCCATATACAGAGTGCCACGAAGCGTTGCTTGTACCGGTTCGTACCGGGTCCCTGAACAAGGCGGGGGGTCTTTTATCTTTCCTCGCAATCGCAAGGTAGTGGTAGTATTAGATTCAAGCAATTATGTCATTGAACAGTCTTGAGAGTCTTTTGTTGTTCACCCATCAAATATTCCATCAGCGATCATCCCATCACCACCATGAATATCGCGGACCTTCCAAAAAGACATCGAGACCCTTCAGTTTATGAGTTCAAGATGTCTTGTCGAAATTAGAAAAGCCCCTGTCATTCACCTTACCTACCCACCAGTCATATCCCCAACGGTTGTGTACCACTCTACCTTTCATCACTCGTGCCTGCCACAAGATGGATTCGATCCCTGGATGCACAACCTCATCTGAATACTTATCAACTGTGTTTTGGTATTAACAGCCATCGAATGTCATTTAAAAGACTTACCATTACCCTCAGCATCCAGAAAGACAAAAGAGAAAAAGTGCTGCTTCATTAAAAACGCCTAATATCCTATGCACAGAAGGTAGAAAAGAAAAAAAAAAAAAAAAAAAAAAAAAAAAAAAAAAAAAAAAAAAAACCACCGATACCCCAAAAAACCCGATCCTTGACTCCTTAGCTCCCAGCTCCCAATGCATTCCATGGAAACCCTCAAGTTCCAAAATCCCCAACCAGCGAAACGAGCAAGCAGCAGCACCTAATAGTACCTATAACGCCCGATTGGCATTGCCATTCCCATTCCCATTTCCTTCCCGTCCCTCGCTACCCAATCCATTCCATGCTGATCCAAGAATCAAAACTCCGTCTTTTGAAAACCAGAACAGCCCAGAGAGAATCCCGCCTCCAAACTCCCAAAACACCTCGCTTTTCCTAGTACCTTTTGCGTTTTGCAAGGTCCAGATATAGACCACAGATACAAAATATGATCTAACCCAAAACAAAATGACACGGCAGATGAAAGACCAAAACCGCAGCACCGACGAGACGCCCACAGCAGTCCCATCGTCTCCTCAATGTTTCTTCCAACCCCTTCCTATCCCACTCATGCTTCGATTCGCTTTCCCGATCATCCTGCTCTTTCTCATCTCATCACATCTCCTCCAGTTTATTATCATCCTCTTCCGCATCTTCCTCTTCGTCGGCAATTTGGCCTCTTTACGAGGCATTCCCATTCCCAATAACATCCGAAAACAACAGCAGCGGCCACTGTCCACCCCCGGCTCCAACCACAGCTGAATCCGCCGCCGACACTCCCAGCCCATCAGCTCCGTCTCCCGGTCCGTGGCCGGCTCCGCCGTTAACATGTGCATGCGAATGGTCAACCATTCCGGCCCCCGACACGTCACCCGGTCTGGTTGACCCCAGAGTTAGTAGCGCACTAGCGCTGTACCGCTCTTGGGAATCAGCCATGGCGGCCGCCCAGTCATGCCATGCATTGTTGTTGGGTGCATTGGAAGCGACTGATGCTACGGCAAATTGCGGGTGAACCTGTGGTCGCCATTCTTCGGCTCCGGTACCTGGTTGGCCTGTTGTGGAAACGTGCTGGGTGGCTTGAGAAGCGAAAGCTATTAGAGGGTTGATGGCGGAAGAGGTTTGGTCCATTGCTGCTGCAACGGTTTGAGGGGGTGCTGTTGATGAGGTTGGGGTGGCTGTTGCGTAGAGGTATTGCACACTGCCGCCGGAGGGGTCGTAGGCTGCTAGATTAACGCCGTTGCTGGTTTGGTGGGCGTCGGCGCTGTTTTCATTCAGAGACATGGTTTGGTAGGGGGTTGCTGAGCCATCGTAGTACCCGGCTCCGTTTGTGCTGACGCTGCTGCGGTGGTCATTGGGTGTGACCGAGTGACTGGACGCAATACCGTTGCTGTTGAGTGGTTGCTTAAATGGTAGGAGAGGCTGCTGGAACGGTGATGCTGATTGTTGTTTGGCTATGGTCTGGTCGATTGACAGTCCATCTTTACGGCTCATGTCGCGTTCGATGCGGGTGATGGTCTGCTTGATAATCGTGTCCAGGGTTGTTGCTAGACGGTTTCCAGTACCTGTTAGTCGACCAATCTCGCTGATAATCTCGAGGCCCAAAACCATATCTGCCCTTAAAGTGGCCATCTCCATATGTGTGATTTCATGTCTCCTTTCCCAGTTTGCGACGAGAATCGTCAAAGTTGAGGCGACGTATACCGACAACTGGTACCATGTTGTGTCCAGAGACTTGAGTTTCAACAGCTCCCCTACCACCTTCAATAGCTTCCGAGCTGTCTGCTCGCATATCCTTGTGTTCTCAGCACAGAACTTGGGGTCCTTTTCTAGACAAACCGATGGATGTCTAAGACAAAGCTTAAACTCGAGACTGATGGCCTGGGTATACAGTGCAAACACCAAGTCGGTCGGTTGACACTTTTCCACTCGCAGACAGTCGGGTAGTTCATTCGTTAGCTTGCGCATTCCGGCCTCAAGTTCGGCGACAGTATCGACATATTTCTTGGGATCTCGCCTCACGCTGTAGATGCTAGAATACATCTCCATATACAAAGGAACAGCCTTGAAGCCGGCGAGCCCAATTTGATAGCAGCAATGACCAACCTTGGACGGGTCCAAGATGCCATCGTCTCCGAGATACTCGTCATCAATAGCGATTGGGAACTCAATGTCGAATTCCTCGAGTGTGATGGGCATTGGCCTGCCAAGTCGGCCGTTAAGGGTAATGATGATACCCAGGATGGACCACCACACCCTTTTGCGCAATTCGTTTTCAAGAGTTGTGCGCCCATTCGGTATCTTGTTGCTCCGATGGAAGTTGAGTTCAATGGCCTTCATCATGGCAAAGTTGGCAATGGTGAAGGAACATCCTGGTTTGGGAAAATTGCGGGTGTGAGACGCCAGCATGGCCAAAGCCTGGACCGCGGTAACCGTCTGAGAAACGGCAAGTTCAAAGAACTTACTCAAACACCAATGGTAGTGCTTGTTAGAAAGATCATTCAGCTGCGCATGGTCCTCTGGCTTCTCGCGATGGTTCCTGATACCGTACTGGAAGTACATGCTTGATATCATCATGCGGACCAGTACGAGTTCGGGTACTGTTGCTTTGAAGCCCGGCTCATCATAGATGCGAGTCAAGAGCTGCATAAACGAAGGCCTGTGGACTAGTGGCATGTACGGGTATATGGTGAGGAAGTACCACTCGGCATATGTAAAGGCGTCGTGTCTCGAGGGGAGGTCGCAATGTTCCATTGGCGGGTTTATCCTGACTAAGGACTGATAAAAGGCCGTGACCGATTTGTTATACAAGGGTGATCCGATGGGAGTATTTGGTGAAGGCTCATCCATATCTGGGTCAGGATCGTCAAACGAAGTGATCTCAATGGTAGTTCCAAGAACCGAAAGGGTGGTGCCCTTAAATGTCACGCCTAGGTAGCTCTCTGTCGGCCTCGATTCCAAGAGCGAACATCTCGTATAACGCCCTGGTGTGCTCTGTGACCCTCGCCTGCTTTTTCTATACCACACCGAGCCTTGTTGCTGCCATTCGCCTTGGGACATGGGATCGTGGACGGGATTTCCCATGGCATCCAGGGTGACACCCGGAGGGTGGTGGTTTCTATTAGCGTTTGACCCTTCCCATGGCCGGATTTCGATTTTATGGTCGGCCAGCACTCTTTCGAGGTCCCTCACCCTGGCTTCGAGTTGTTGGGTATAGCCTCGACGTTCGGTACGGCCTGTTACACGGTCTGTTACAACGCATTCGATGTTTTGGCTCGCGCAATGGGAGCAGCCCGCAGGGGAGGCATCGCAGCGGATTTTTCGGACCTGGAGACGCACAGAGATTAGTATGTTACGGGAACGCGACGCCGGTTAGACGCGCAGCAGGCTGTCAGAGCGACAGGTCGGAAAATCAGTACCTTGCACCTGTCACAAGCCTGACCAGTCCGCGTGTATTGTGAGAGCTTGGTCTTGACAACACTCGAAAAGTCTTCTGTACTGCGCTCAAGACGGGGCAGCTTCATCTTGGGTTGTAAGCCATTGTCGAGAGGAGTGTCCCCGGCTTCGCTTGGCCGCTTTGGAGGACCGCCTGGGGGCATGATGTTTGAGTCTCGAAGTTTGACCAGATTTGTAGACGAGCGTGGGACGATTCCAGATGACGGTTCGAGAGAATAATAGTAGTAATCGTCGTGAGCAGCGAATCGGTTGGTTTGTTGTCAATCGGGTGGTTTCTTGGGAACGGTTTATGCCGAGGAGTTGTAGCGCAGTGAGCAAGCGAGCGGATGAGCGACGGCGCCGACGGACTTCAGCTGTCACGCTGAGTCGCTGGTCTGACTGTGGTCAGGGTAGTGGTAGTGGTGATGGTGGTGGTGGTGGTGGTGGTTGTGGTGTGTCGTGAGAAGAGAGGGACGGGATGGAAAGGGACGGACGGGACGGATGTGCGATGGAGATTGCGGCGCGGTGGATATGGCGTGCCAATTAATATTGAACGATGACCGGGAACCTTGAAGCGAAGGATGGTTGGCGTAGGGAGGCACTGATGGCGTTGGATTCCTGGAGGGGAGGGGAGTGAGAGCGAGGGATGTCGGTTCCGAAAGCGTCAATCAAGGAATGGATGGATGTGTCCAGGGCGCCGGGATCGAGGAATTCAACTGAAGGGAATTAAAAGTTCACGGACTAGGGGGGGGGGCCCGGCCGTCGATCGCTGATCAGCCCAAGAACATTGAAAGAAAAGAAGGAACATGCTTTCACCGGCCCATGATTGCGACAGGAATTATGGCCCATTCAGGTCAAGGGCAATTCCTTCGTCCTCGTCGAATGAATCCGATTTCACTCGGGGCGGATCCGTTACGTTCTGCGAGTGTCCCGATTTGGCATGGCTGCATCTTCTCGGCCCATGCATGGAAGTCGAGTTCACGGATTTGGTCCAATTCCCAATCATTCCCAATGCAATCACGATCACCGGTGCATGGCAAAGGGAACATCCATGGCTGAAATATCCGAGCGTGAGTTAAGCTGGGTGTGGAGATATTTTATTGTACGTTGGAGGAACTGACCCTCGTCCGAAGTGAGCAGCCTGTTTCTGGGCCTCAAGACTGGCGCTCATCCAATAGAAAGCCGACCGCTCTCCTGTTTCTACCTAGTACATCTGTAGCAGTGCCGTATAGCCTTCTTTTATTTCTTCAACTACTATAATATTTCACGCCTCTTAACATCCCAAAATACGCCCATCGACATCGACTGAGGTAGGGTCGGGACTACAGGTGGTCCCCCTTCCCAAGACAACAACCATCACGGCATCCGTGTATCCGTCGACAAGGACATTTCCTAAAACACAGCACATTGCTGATGGTCCCTGGCCGTCGCAAGGTACTAATGGGAAGCGTACCTCTAGACAGTCCAAGACATGCGTTCATGTGTCCGCTGTGGTTGCAACTTTGCAACTGAGAGATTGTGAGAACCTCGACGGCTGCACGCGCGCCATGTTCCACTTTTTGGGCTGGGCTGTCAGATGGAAGAAACTCAGACAATCGGCAATGTGACAAGTTGATTCCCTGTTACGTAGTATATGACCCAATACATACAGTCAAACGTTAAAGGGGCTGATGTCCGGGCCTCTTGGAATTGACATGCTTGGCGGGGTATTGATCCCTGTCACCAGCGCGACGCGCCCCGGCGCCCGGGGATCTGCCCCGCCATGGAGATCCCGCCGAACGATGGACGGCAAGGATGCATTCGCCGTCGCATTCAACTTTTGAGCCTGTTTCCTTATCGCCAAATCGGAAAAAGTATCACTGGAAATTGCCCCAAAAAAGAGTACGGTACGGCACCCAAACACCTTCTCGACCCCAATCCAAATAATACTGACCTCGACTTCTCAGCATATCGGACCGACACATGATTCAATAACACATCAATCAACCCGTCGCATTCCATCCATCTACCCCACCAGCCATCACCATCACGACCATCACAACCGAAGACCACAACCGTCGCAATGGCGCTCGAAACCCTCCAAATCGAACACGTCCCGTCGGACCACCACGTCTACGCCGCCCTCTTCCGCGACGTCCAAAACGTCGACTTCCTCCAAGCCCAGCTCATCGGCAAGAACCCCGAGTTCGAGTACGCCTTCATCGACGCCTCGGTCATCATCTCCCGCACACACCTGTTCGCCGCCATCTTCCGCGCGCTCAACACCTTGACTGAGGGAACCCTCCAAACCCCAAACGTCCATTCCGATATCGTCATTGGGCTAAGTCCGACCAACAATGTTCGTCTTCCCATCCATTGCCCTCCTTCTTTTCAATAATAATCTACCGTTACTGCGTTTCAAGTGAATCAACCCATGAGCTAACAAAACAAAACAGATCTCCGAATCCTACCGCCGCTACGGTCTAACCCCTTCCAAAACGCGCGACGTCCTGGTCATCAAAGTCGTCTACCCCAAACTCAGCTCCGAAAACTCGGCAATCACCAGCGAACAACCAACACCAGAAAGCATATGGCAACACCTGACCACTCACATTCAAGGTACGCCCGTACCGCTTACAAACGAGGAATTCGCCAAGTCGACGGATTGGGCAAAAGTGCGCAAGTATTACAAGCTGAATGGCGTGCCGGGCGTGGAGAGGATAGACAAGGCGGATGAAGAGGGGAGGCGGAAGGAGATGGAGGGGTTGGTTGTTAGTGGGATTGCGCTGAGGGGGTTGTAGATGAAGCAAAGGATTGGCGGGAGGAGGAATACAAGAATAGGACAAGATAAAGGTCAAGACAAAAGTCGATTGACAGATAAGAATGAAGGAAGATACCTCTAGAGGTTGGGGAATGACCTGAGACGGCATTGGGTTGTAGAGAAGCATAGACTTGGACATGAAGAGCTGCATGTTGAACTGACACCAAACCAAGATACTACTGACTCTTACTGTGTAGCCTTGGTGAAAGTGTCTGGGCAATGCATACAATAAAAGAGCGAAAGAAGGAAAGAAAAGACAAAAGTAATGCATGTCAGGATCAAAGCGGGAACATGGCCTCGGTCAATTATTGGCGGGATTCTAGTAAATTGGCGCTTGTCCATGGCAAGATTTCAGGTAATTTCACTACCATGTTAAAAGAACCGTAGGTTGGTCTCAAAAAGTAGTTTTGATGTTGAAAACAACATTGTCATAGGACTTTTGAGTGGAAAGACAGAGATCACGATGACCAGACCCGGATGCTTTCATTCATGACTTGAATATTTGTATCTGTATCTGTCAAGCAAGTACCCACGCTCAGACCAAGGCCAAATCTACTAGGTAATCGATCCAAGATGCCAAGCAACCCTCGCAATGCGCCAAAACTGATGATCCCCAAAGGCCATAAACAATTGACATTTCGGGCCGGTTCTTACACCCACTGGAGAGCTTAAGAAGTAACCCCAAATAGCCCCTTCACCCTCCTCCTAACCTCCCTTCCCATCGCCTCCCGTCCACTCCTTGTCCTCTGCACCGCATCCCGATTCTCATAAGCCCTCCGCAACAAGTACTTCATGCACTCCCCCGTCGATCCCCACACCAGGTACTTGTATACCTGCGGCTTATTGACCATTTCACTTCCCTTCTCACTGTCCTTCGCACTCTCCTTCTCCGCCGCCATCTCCATTTCCTTGGGAGTCTCGTGCGGCCCAGCAACAAGCTCACAACTAACCTCGTCCGCCATTCCCTGCAGCTGGGCGAACGCCACCTGTTCATAGCCCAGCTTGGCCACGCCGCTGTCGAGAAGGGCCTTGCCCTTGAGTACCGATTCGCGGTTGTGCGTGGCTAGAACGACGCTCACGTCGGGGAAGTCGGTCATCTCCTTTTCAGCAGATCCAGACTGTGGGGTAGGAGGTTGCAAGGGGCCAGACCAGGTCTTGCGGAGCAAGGCTTCAGCAATCCCATCGTACTGGCCATCCGTGTCGGCCTTGGTGTCGCAGATGAGATGTCTGGGATCAGCGCCCAAGTAAGCGCCGCGAACGAGTTTCACGCCGAGGGTGAACCCTTCGGACGCGGCGATGGCGAGGTGCTTGGAGAGAGTGGCAGGCGTGGATTTGAGGTAGGCTTGGTAAGTGCCGTAGACTACGGCGTTGCTTTTGTTGTAGCGGCGCATGTAGTCGAGCGTCCAGTCGTCGATGCCAGGCTGGAGAGCATTTTGTTCGGCGTCAAAGAGGAGGCGGACGCCCCGCTCGGCGGCGAGGTTGCAGATCCCGTCAATGGCAGAGCCTAGGGCCTCGGAGGGTGGGAGCTGCTTGGAGAGACTATAAAGGGCCTGGCGGCCGGCGCCAGTAAATTTGAGGGCTACGAAATCGCCGGGAGAGGCAAGGCGGACGGTCTCCATGGTTCCTTCGGCCCAAGGGTTGATTTCCGTGCGAATACACTCCTCCGCAGCGGCGCCGCCCTCGGCCGCGCAGGAGGCGAGATCTTTGGTCTCCGAATCGCTGAGGACTACCTCACGGGCATAGCCGAGGATGACACCACTGAAGCCGATTTGCTTGAGGGAGTCGATGGTTTGGCGGACCTCGGCCGGATTCTCACCGGCGCAGAATTGGGCGTAGAAGGTCTTCTTGAGGAATGCGCGGAGGAGAGGGTTTCGGTCGGGGTTAAGAACTGGGTTTGTGGTATGGGCTAGGACGGACATGACAGCTAGTGAAGGCGGTAGGAGGAAGGGCGAGGACGAGACGGTGGTGGTCATCCATGATCGGAGGACGTTTGTTAGTGGCAGTACTGCCAATGGCGAAGGTGCCGGTGTCTTGGGCATCTCACTGGACTGAGACTCGCCTGTTGCTGGTAATGATGATGCGTTGTTGATGGTTAGGTGGTCGGTAGGCTTAGGTCGGTTGGTGGAGGAGTGTATAAGTCGTGTGGCATATGTTCTCCCGACGCCGTTGATACGCCCGACCATTGAAGTTGAATGTGAGACATGATGACGTGAGACCGAAGCCACGGCAGGTCCAATAGCCGAAGCAATGGTTCTTGCCCGAGCATGTCTTATGTTGCAAACCAACTGCCTGCTGGCCGGTGATGTTGAAGTAGGAAACATATTGCAGTGTGTGATGGAGGTACCGGGATGAGACCAAACAAAGACAGGCCAACACCGCACAAACACAAAGAATGATGAAGCAGGTACCGAGGGAAACAGAGACGGGGTAATGGCTGTGTGATATATAGATGCAGCTTGATTCATGACAATCAACCATACCACAGACCTTCGTCTCATCTTTATCTCTGGCTCGCCCCTGGGAGGCCGGGACCGCTAGCAAATCGAACGTACCAGATCCATCCCCTCCGAGTACACTAGCGCAGCGTGGGACGGGCAGAAGACAAGTGCAGGCCGACTTGCTACACTACTATCTGGGATAAACCCTCATCGATCCTCCTTTGTCAAGGTTTCGTTGACGCGGGTGATGCTGCGGCGGGATGGTACCTGATGCAGCCATTGGCATCAATTGCGCTTGCTTCTTATCGGGCGTCACGTGGCCGTCCCCCAAGGCCGCCAGTAGCCGCGATCTGCTGGGGGGTGGTCGGAGAGGAGATTGGGCTGAGTGACGTTCCCCCTTTGATGCCCGCTTGATGAATGGTCAACAAGTGGTTCTTCCCAGCCCTGTCTCGCCAATGGAAGGATGCTGTAATAACAGTTCCAATCCAAGCATTCCAGAGCTTTCCTAGATATACCCACCTATCAGCTGATACCTTCACCCCTAGTGTAGCCCGCCGGCTATTCGAAATTCAATGCCGATGTTGGAAAGCTTCGATACGTACTGACCAATAATGATGACTTGTGCGCATACCTCGGCGAAAGAACGCCGGTGTATGTCTAGACTCTACTCTATAGAATCCGGTGCGGCTGAGCGGGCGCCATCTTGGATTCCCACAATGCTTGGATATTTCGTGCAGGATTGAGGGTCTTGAGTTTGTCATAGAAATGGACTAGTAAACCGACTGTCCGATAAGTTGCAGGGGTCGTGTTGTTTCGACCTTGAATAACCGTTGCGGAGCATTTGGGGCTTCCGAAATCGGCTGTGATGGTAACATTGAAGAGCAACTAACCAACCTTGTGTTTTTGTATCTCTTCACCGATCGGATTGGGATGCACCTTTGGGCGAAAGTGTGGACAGAGAGGATTGGGCTTTTATCGTTTTTAAATCACCCGCTCCTTCTGGTTTTCGTCCACGGTATTCTTAAAGCCGCCAACGCGGCGCTTGAGGAATTCGACATATCCGATGGGCCGACCTCTTGCGATGCCAGCTACATCCTGCAAGCCTCCGTATGCGAGACCTACGACCAGGGCAGTTTTGGTTGTTCGGGCCGCCATGGGCAAAGAAAAACGATCTATATGAGAAAGTCATGATTAGCGTTTGATGCGCAAGATCTAGGACAGACAATCACGTACTCCATAGACTGAAGGCTCCCGCAACAGTCACACAGGCGGTTACAGTGTTGAAGATGTCGGCCGTCCCACGATAGGCGTCAAACATGTGCTCGATGCCAAACATGGCTGTTGTCCAGAAGCAAATCTTGGCTCCCATCCTGGCACCCTCCTTGGCGCCGCCCCAGATTGAGTTGTAGTTCTTGCTCTTGTGGTAAAAGTACCATCCCATCTTGGTGGTCGGCAGCTTATGGGCGTGTTCGGCACGAAAGCGCATACCGGCTGTCTTGATGCCTTGGCTCATTCCGAGTGTGAAGCCAATGAGCAAAGCAGTGCTCGACGCAAGGGGGATTCGCACGGCATCCGGAATGGAAAGACGGCATTTGGTAATGTATTCGGGGACGGGCTCTGGCGCGGCGGCCTCGGTTTCTTTGGTGGTTGACATGTCGACCAGTATCTATCGAATGTCGTATCGCAGTCTCCTGTCGTGATGTGCTTGTCGGGATCCTCAGGCAATGAAAGTGGTGAAGTTCAATTGGGGCAGCTCGAGCCGATGTAAAGACGTCAAGGTGTTTGCAGCTGTTCGCTGGCGATCCACCGTGTTGGACCGTGAAAGACAACTGGATCAGTGTCACTGGAAACAACTTCGATTGAAATCCCCCCCGAAAGTCCAGGTTAACAGCTTGGTCGGCTGCATGGCTGCATGTGGATATCAGAGATTGGAGATGGCCCGAGCTCCCTCCTAGTGTACCGTAGAAACTCGCCAAACTGGCAAAAAGCCTTCCCTCTTTGAGCGCCCGACAGTAAGCACAGGGTACAGCATACAGAAAGTACTCTATATACCCTGTTTTGACTGCAGTTCAATACATACAGTATCGATGGCTATCTGGGGTCCCGGTCTCTCAGTTCTAGTTGTCTCCCTGTTCATTTTGGTGCCCTATGTTACCCTCGTCGTTATTATTGTGTTATTATTACCAAAATAGATGGTGGAAGTCCCCGGTCTAGCGGTAGCGGTAGTGCTTATACTCTAACGTTACCCTCTAGTTAAGAATTTATTAAAAGACGCCCTAGTCCTACCGTTAAACCTTATAACCGTTGTAAAATCCAATGAGAAAGGGCGGTTAAGCGATTCTAATAAGGTTATTTAATTTATAGAAAATTATAAGTCAGTTATTTACCCTATAGTCGTTAGGAGAGTTACTAACTAGATCCGCGAAGGTTATCGCTTACTTCTTATAAAAGTGTATCGCTCGATAAGGTTAATACTATTGTATTCGAAATAACAGTACTAGAGTTAACGAAATTCGCGATATATCGTACAAAGAAGCGTACGCGTTCTATAAAATCCCGGTTCGAATAATAGCGAATTAGTAGCGGAATTATAATACGATTTTATTGAATTTAGTAAGAGAAGGGAGGGTAATATAGCTAGAGATAGAGGGTAAATTATATTAAATTTTCTAGATTGCCCGCCGGCGAAATAAATTACTAATAACTATAGCCTAATTTCGTCGTCGCTCGACTACCCTTTTTACTGAAACGTACCTAGAAATTTAATATACTTTTAAATTCTTACACGGGTGGTTTGGGAACTTCCTTAACCAATTTATAATTATTTAACAAAGAATTACTTATTAAGTTTAGAAGCTCCCCGCTGAACTATATATAAAAATTAATAGCTTTCTTCAGTAAGGTTATTACTCAAATAACAGTAGTTCAATTAGGGAGTAATAGAATTAACTATAAATTTAAATTTATTAAACGTAATAGTCAATCGATCGTCCCTAGTACCCGTATATAATTCCCCCCCTCTTATATTATTAACCTTAACAAAATCCTATTCAATTTTAAATACCTTAATAGCACTATATATAATTTTAAGGGTTTTAGAATTATTTTTAGTAAAACCGACTATAGTAGTTAGAGTAAACGCTAATACTCTCTCATCCTTTATATTTTTACCAACGGCGGCTGGCGATTGAAACCGACGGTTATTTTTTATAGGGAGGGGAAAGTCTAGGAAAAAGAGCAACCGCTATATATTTAAGATGTCTTTGTTAAGTTTAATGACGATGTGTACCAGAACGAAACCCTCTTTTGCAGTTGGTTCGACGAAGAATTTGCTCCTGTTGTATGGGAGTTAGGGTAAGAAGTATTATTCGTTATAAATATATACCCGTTTTACAATTTTTAAAAAGTCCGCAATAAAATTAATAACGATATGCTTTATAAGGTAGTAACGGTTATAATCCCTAGTGGTTTTATAAGTCTATTATAACCGTTGGATATAGTAATTAACTCGTTATTTAAAAAGATAATAAGAAACGAGACCGAGTAATTATAGGATTAATAGTATATTGATAATCCGGGTAAAAGATGGTCCGTCCGGGATAAGAGGATTCTAGTTACTTATACTATTTTTCATTACTATTAAAAATTATAAATAGATAAAAAGGATATTATTATTAAGTTTTTCAAAGATAACGGTATATCTATCCTTCTAAATGGGTTAGAGAATTACTTAATTAACTTTAAAGAAATTAATAGAAATACTCTAATATAGAATAATTAGGAGCGAGTAGGTAATACTATTAGGGATGAGTTGGGCGAGTTTGAAGCTATCCCTAAAGACGAAGACGATAAGGGTCTCTATTTTAATTTCGACGACGAAGAGGTGGAGGAGAGGAAGCAGAGGGTAAGGGAGGCGGCGATAATTCGATATAGTTACTATATTTATAGTATATTACAAGATATATTATATAATAGGGGGTTATTAAAGAAGGGTAATAAACTAGACTTTACGGTACGATTAAGGGTATATAAGTTATAGTAATAATAATTCGTTCGGTCTAATTAATAATAATTAATTTTTATTATTACTATTATTAACCTCGCCGCTGTTAATAAATTTGCCGCTATCGAAATATTAATAAGTAGTAACTTTACCTTCCCGCTACTAATAGGTTATATTAAGGCGGCTATTTTATTTATATTAGTATTTGCCTAGTTCAATTATATAATAAAAGATTTTAATATTAGCCCTAATATCTTTTTTAATATAGTAACGGCTTTTATTACGAACCCAGTGAAATGGAGCAAAAACCACACCAACACGAAAAGCACCCTACTACACCTAAATGTAGTGAGGAGCAGATCTGGAGTTGAATATAGCTTTCGTCCTTAGGAACTAAGATAGAGTAGCAAAGTCACAACTCATCAACCACCACCAAAGACCAACGAGAAGGATAAGATTCTCCTCATTAGTCTTAGGTTGGCTAGATAGGTCTGGAAGTTAGTTCTTTCACAGAAGGGTTATTGGGCTTACTATTACGAGGGCGTTCGACGGTAGTTCTGTAGTATAGGAGCGGGATTCTTTAGTCTATTCTCGAAGATAGGTGTTGTCTGGTCTAGTCTGGAGTGCCTATCCTTCCTCTCTCCTCTCAGTCGGGATCTCCTCCTTATATCCCTTTTCTACTCATTACATTCCCAGGGTCCTGTCCGACCAGTGCAACAGATCCGCTCCTTAATGAGCAATGAGCTAAGGCCTAGATACCTCCACATATTATTTGAAAGCAAGAGTCCAGAGCAAAGAAAAGAAGAAAGCGTAGAGAAAAACAAGAAAACAAATGAACCACCCCACATCACCAGCTAAAGTGGGTTACCCTCTAGAAGTCCATTAGGGTTAGACCTTCCCTAATGTTGGGGGATAATGGTATTCGAGGGACGATGAGGTATTTAGTACGTTTAACGAATTGCTGGGCGTTAGTAAAATTGTTTGTAACGTTTAGTAAAAGAGAGTTAGAGAGCTTCAATACTAGGGGATTATTATTATTATTTATTTATAGATAATGTCGATATCGTTAAGTAGAACCTTCTGGGGCGCCATGGTGGTATGACAGGGATGGAAAACTGGGGTACAGATTCTCTAGTAAAATAGGGGAAATCCCCCTATGAAAAAGCATAGTAAAAAAGGCCTAGTTGATAAGCCCCCGACTAGAAATATTGCCCACCGCCTAAACTTACCTGCGTTTCAATGCACAGGCTCGGACTCGAGCATTACAGATCTGCCAGCACCCTGTCTGATTTCCCGGTTTTTCAGGCAGTAGCTTTTTGCCAGTTTGGCGAGTTTCTACGGTAGTGTAGCTGCCCGCCCCCTCCAAAACGCGGAGAAAGCGGGTCGGATCGCGTCTGCAGTCTCAGTGTCTCCAACCTAACCTGGGCCACCCGACCAACGTCATCACAGCCCAACCCCACTGTCCATCCCTTATTGCAGCTTCCACATGCCAGGAACAAACTGACCCCAACTTTTTAGATCTCAGCCTAGCTTACCACAGTTGAACAGCGAAATCTTGACCAAGGGTTTCTACTTTTTCTTCTGTACACTAAACATACTCCGTCAAAAAGACCCCATTACCGTCATAGTTGAAAAGTCACAATGGTAAAAAACCGCCATCTCCGTCGGGCTTCTCTCCAACTTTGCTGACCATCACCGTCGTCCCAGCCTCGCACCACCAACAACCCGGTCGATGACCCTCGCATCACCCTTCGCCTCAAATGCGGTATCCACACAATCTTCCTCTTCGTTATGCTAGATTGGACCTTTGCCAAGGTGTCCGAAGAGCTACTCATGATCCTCCATGACCGCTACCCCAACGGTCTTACATTCAGCGTCGACGCCGAACCGGTCCCTCTCCCCGAAGGCGATGTCAAAATCGTCTATGGAATCCCTAGACACCCTAATGGGGATTTAAGCCACGGGTGGAAGAAGCTTAAGGTGGAAGACGTGGACACGGTAGAATCATCCAAGCTTGCGGATGTAAGCGCTGTGGCCTTTGCGCTGGTTGATCCCGAGTCGGAGGGCAATGTGACGTTTGATGTCACTGTTCCGCGGTTGGACGACTATGATGAAGAGTACTGAGTTATGGGAGGGAACATAACGGCGTTTGCGCGGCGCATTGGTTTAGGTTCAGGCTGCATGGCGGCAAGGTCGGCGTTCGGGTTGAAGATATTGAACAGAAATGAAAAGGCGCTTTGGTTATGGGAAAAGGATACATCATACGTCTACCTGACATGTATACCACTGGCTGTTACATCGTTATCTGAAAATTCCAAGGTAAAACATCCTTCCACCTTCCCCTACCCCTTTCTTAAGAAGAAATTAAAAACCCGAATTAGTTCGCCCGAACAAGAGCTAAAAGCCAGAACTCTTGGTGACTCTAAACTCCACAGACACCCCAGCTCACCACATACTTCCCTCCCATCAGGCCAGTACCGCAATGTGACCGAGGCAACTCAGCAAACCATGAAAATTGCTGATAATATCATCTAAGACCTCCTTGTCAGTAACATCACAACGCCAAACTCGGAAACTTTGCTTACCAAGATTTATGTAGGTGTCTCCCCACTTCTCGCCATCATAACAGCTGCAGTGAAGCCATGTAAACATACCCAATTTCCCTTTGGGGTCGGGACTGAGCCAGCAATCACCGCAGGTATTACCAAACCATCCACTGACGGATTGCCCGTCAGTTACCTGTTGTTGATTGAAAGGTAAAAAACCAAGAAAACTTACTTGTCTTGCATCATCAGATAACCATCGACGTTGGCGATGCACTGTCCGAGATACTGCCGTGACTTTAGATACGAGCCATCTTTCGTCTGGCATTCTGCTAAGAAGTCCATGTCGAGGGGGTGGGTTCCTGGTGTCATATACCACTTGAGGCAGCATTAGTACTGGGTGGGTACGTGCTGAGACTAAGAAAGCAAAAGAGTCACTCACGCGTGTGCATCCTCCGAAGGCGGTTTCGTTATGTCCTGTGGGCTCGACATTGTCCAGGCCCCCAACAGGTTCAATGACCAGTCCATGGACCACACCCAGGAATAGTATTGCCCCAAACAAAAGCTTGGGGAGAGTCTTCATTATGGGCACTGTTTCGGAGAGTTCTTGTCAAGATTCCACGATTTGCGGTTCTTTCCAATCTGTCAAAAGCCTTCCCGAAATAAAACCACAGCAAAGACGGCTCCCGGGGTGCTTATTATGCTTCGACATCATCATGACTTTTACCCACTCCCTCATCTTTCTCAACTGTACGCGACTCACAAGGCAACGAGTGTCAAGATCTGTGTAGCACCGATCTCGGTGTAAACTGATTGGTGCCACTCTTCGCGTACACCTTCAGCTGTCTTTGGTCTGTGCTGTCCGACGGAAAACCGAAGGTCTAAGGCCAGTGATTTTCCCTTTACACTGCTACAAAGTCAACCTTGCAAGATGAAGCTCGGCCTCAACAAGACCGTGTGGAGGAGAGGGACTTTGCGTCAAGGCACACAAGGTTGGTGGGCCCCCCATCAACGTAGGGAAGCAAGTGTATGAGTTACCGGCCAATAGACTAGCAGCCAAAGCAAGGCGGAAAGACGATGTTTGAAACTTGCGCATCAGTTGGACTGACTCTGCTTGCCGAGCCACGGAGCCGTTGGCAGCTACACAATCACGGACAATGTTTCGGACTGACTTGATGATTGTCAACAAGCGTTGCCACTGGTGAGATGATTTGTCTGATCTTGTCACTTTCCAGAGCCTTCGGGGTGATCAGAAGAAATCATTAACTGGTGTAGAACTCCCTTTTGATTTTTGAGGGAGAGGTCGTACGACCCCCATGTTGACGAACTCCTATGTCTGACAAGATCTGGACCCCTTATGCCAAGACATGGTGAGCATGGATCCGGGGGCCACACACCATGACGTTCCGTCCCAACTCTCAGTACAGTTGCCGCCGGCAAATCCCTCCCCCCACCCTCCCTTCTCCCCTCAACTCTTGGCATTCTTCACCTGAAAATTGGCGAAACACGACTGGAGCATCGCCGACACGCTCTCATGCGGCGCAATTTGTTGACTCCTTTTTTTTGTCGACTCCAAATCGGGAATTATCACAACAAACAGACAGACCCTTGACACTCATTGTCCCGGTTTCACGAGGATTCTTCAGAACTCTCGCTTGGGCGTATAGTGTTTTTGCTTTTTTTCTCTCTCTTTTTTGGTCTATACCCTATATACCCTTTCACATGTGTCTCTGTTTCCCCATGTCGCGATAGTCAACATCCAATGTCGCAACTCTCCTGGTCCCCGACGGCGACCCTCCGCAAGGGCTTGCGCATCTTCCTCCCCATCTCCCTGGCTCTGACGATATACCTCTACTTCTTCCCCTTTTTCGGAAAATGCGCCTTTCCGTTGCCGCCTGTCCAACATAATGCGCCCGCCGACACAGGCTACCATGCCTTCCTCGAGACGGTCAAGTTGCACCTTTCGCTACCGTCTGTGCCCGTAGACGAAACCGATCCTACCTCGACACCCACCGTTACACCCTCGCGACCGCTTGCGCCGTTTCGTCTCCTCGCACTCGGGGACCCGCAGCTCGAAGGCGACACCTCGATCCCGACCGAGTACCTAGGCGTCTTCCCGCACGTCAAGAGCCTCTTCCGCCACCTGACCTTCCAGACCAGCCACGCCTCTCTACGATGGCGCCTCCGCCAGTGCTTCCACGAGATCGTCGACATTTTCTTCGAAGACATCTTCAACCTTGCCGAGTCCTACCGCAAGCGCTTCGACCACTGGGGCAACGACTACTACCTCGCCCACATCTACCGCACGCTACACTGGTGGTCGCGCCCGACGCATGTCACCGTTCTCGGTGACCTTCTCGGCAGCCAGTGGGTCACCGACGATGAATTCTACTGGCGCGCCCACCGCTTCTGGAACCGCGTCTTCAAGGGCGGCGAGCGCGTCCCCGACGAAGTCGCCATGTACCCAGCCGACGAGTACGACCTAACCGGCTACCTCTCGACCAGCGGGCCCGCCAACGACTCTTCCGTCTGGACCAAGCGCATTATCAACGTAGCGGGCAACCACGACATCGGATACGCAGGCGACATCAACACTAATCTTACCGCGCGCTTCGAAGACGCCTTTGGCAAGATCAACTACGAGCTCCGCTTCGAGCTGCCCCTCACCAACAAGTCTCTGACCTCGACCCTCTTCGACGCCCTCGACAACCCGCTCTCCGACCGTCTCGTGCCCGAACTCCGTCTCGTCGTACTCAACGACATGAACCTCGACACGCCCGCTTTGTCGACCGAACTGCAAGACGACACCTACTCCTTCATCAACAGCGTCATCAACACCGCCAGCGCGGTGCAGTTCAAGGGCCACTTCACTTTGGTGCTCACGCACGTGCCGCTTTACAAACCCGACGGCGTCTGCGTCGACTCGCCGCTCTTCACCTTCCACGACCACGACGGGACCTTGAAGGAGCAGAACCAGTTGAGTCTGGCGGCCAGCAAGGGGTTCCTTGAGGGCATGCTGGGAATGTCGGGAAACAAAGACGCGCCTGGCAACGGCCAGGGAAGGAAGGGGATCATACTGAACGGACACGATCATGAGGGGTGCGATACATGGCATTATATCAACCAGTCTTTTGTCGAGGTGGAGAGGCTTGTCCAATCTGAAGACGGGGAGTATGAGATCGAGAGGAAGCAGAGGGAGTGGGAGGTCAAGAGGTACAAGCAGGCCAAGAAGGAGTCCCTGATCGGCCGCGAGGATGTGCCGGGCGTGAGGGAGGTGACGGTGCGAAGCATGATGGGCGAGTTTGGCGGGAACGCGGGGCTTCTGAGCGTCTGGTTCGACGAGGAGGAGTGGGAGTGGAAGGCCGAGTATGCGACGTGCCCGATGGGCACCCAGCATTTGTGGTGGGTGGTGCATTTCATGGATTTCTTTGTGATTTTGGGGGCGGTGCTATTGGCCGGCGCAGGAGTGGCGGGGCGGTTTGGTGTGGATGTTGATAGAGCTGTTGTGAGGGGGTTGAGGAGGATGGTTGGTGGAAGGAAATATAGACGGAGGACGGGCGAGAGGAGCGAGAGACAAGAAAGGCTTAGGGGGGAGGGAGAGAGGCATAGGGATGAAAGAGGGAAAAGCCGCGATCGTGGGGTCTTGAAGGATCGGACGAGGTCAAAGTCCAGGAGGAGGTTGGAGAGGAGAGGTGTGACGCCTGATCAGCAGTTGTGGAGTGAGGCGAAGAAGAGGTTGGATTATGGAAAGTCGTGATGTTTTGATGTTTCACGTAGGGGATGATATGGGGTAGCGGGTTTCTTTTGGATAGAACACCAATTGGATTAGGATTTTCTGTCTCTATATGCATTATTGCGTGTACAAGCTCAATTTCTTCTATGGTTGTTATCCCGATTTGTGATCTGCTCATTGCTGCTTACCGTTTGACTTTGATATGATTATATGGGATACGCCAAGTTAACATTGGACTTGGATTATTCTCAAAAGTAGGGCACATCCGAACCAAAAAGAAAACTCAAAAACTTTCATTATTCATCACTAATCGCTATCATCCAAACCAGCCCAAACCAGCCCAAACCACCCAAGACAATCTCACCCCCTAAACTTCCTACTAGCCTCCGCAAAACTCATCCCCCCCCCAATAGCAACCTGCATCTTTGCATCCGCCTCCACCTGCTTCTTCATCAACGGCAGCGCCTGCTCCGCCATCTCTTTAGGAAGCACCACCACGCCATTGATATCCCCAACGAGATAATCCCCCGGGTGGATCATCATATCCTCCTGCTCGTCCGTCTGGAGCTTGACGGGCACGTTCACAGCGACCACCTTCACCAGCTCGGCAGGCGGCGCGGTGCCCACGTCCCGAGCGAAAATGGGATAATGCAGGTCTCGTTGCTCTTGCAGGTCCCGGAAGCGGCCGTCGATGACGGAGCCGACGGCTCCCAGGCTGCGGGCGCGCGTGGACATGAGGCCGCCGTAGACGGCGTTGGGGGTCTTGGCGGGGGCGGAGACGAAGACTACGGAGCCTTTGGGGACGTTGTCGATCTGATTGATGCATGTCGGTATTTTGTTTAGTTTGGTGTTTTGAATATAAATTACCTACGACTAGGTACATATGATGCAAGAAAGAAAGAGAGAAGAGGAAGTGAGGTTGAGTAAGTGACTTACATAGTGAGTAGGGTGTTTCGGCCTTGGGTCATCCAAAGGAACATATTGGACTGTGTAGGCGGGACCAACGATCTTGGTTGCGCCTTCTTGACGGTGGGGGGACCACATGGTCAGACCGGAGAGAAACCCGCCATTGCGATACTTGAGCTTGATGAGGGCGTCCGAGACATCGCAGCTGTTTTGTGTGTTTTTGTAGTGTTAATTCGTAGGCTCGACAATAACGGGGTTCTTTGGATGATTGATGACATACGTTGTGTATTGCTGCAACGCCTTGACGATGGGATCTTCCTTTGTCATCTTTGCTGATGTTGATAGTGATTGTGGTTATGTGTTGAATAGTTCAGTTGTGAATCCGATCGAGAACAAGGTAACAGCCGAGGTTGCGGGGCCACTTGGGACGAGCAGACTTAGTTCTTTGGTGTAAGTGTCTTGGTAAGGTATCTCGAACGCTCAACTCTTACAGTATGTCGAGTGTTTAACCAACCAAGAGGTGATCCAAGATCACTATACTACTCCAAAACATACACTGGAGTTCATATGTTGCAGGATGCAATTATCATGCCCGTCGTCGATACAAGCGGGAGGGTAAGCATGGGAAACTCGGCGACGGCGGGCTGACAAGTGGGACTGTGGAGATCAATGACACCGTTGGGGTCCGTTTCCGTCCGGCCGTCAATGGACGCCAAGCCCGCAAAACCCGGGGAAGTCTCAGGGGGTTTGGACCCGGACCGTTCGGCATGTGACGGTGCTTTCTCGATGGTTTTCTCTCAGGCTTGCTCTCACATGAAAATCATATTCTGATCTTGGGTTTAACTCGCAATAATCAGCTTGACACACAAGTGACGTGCGGTTGAGATCCGATCATGATGCAGATATCTTTGGCTGAGACTCCAGTCTGTTCGTCTACAGAACGCTTTGCTTGTTACAAGGTATATGGGAACATCAGATGACTTCACGAGATAGGACTCGATTCATCGGTCAAAGTCTTCAGAAATGCGAGTCAAGTAGCTCTCGGCTCGTAATAGGGACTAAACACACTTAAACGTACCCCGATAGACTGAGTAGCGACGTCATAATGCGCTCTTCATATTGTACAACTTCCAGATAAAAGCAGTTCGCAATGCATTCCCAAACTAACCCAAGAACGCCTGTCCCAACACAATATGCTCCCAGACCACCATCGTACCCTTCAGTGTTGACCCGCTGCGTGAACACGTCAAGCAACAATGACAACGTCCATACCGACGCCATTAAGCAGTGCAGTAGCCACCATGTCATTCGTGGGAACCACGATATCCTCTTCATTATCCAAATCAGACCAGCCTCTCTCGGGCCCCCACAGAATCCGCTTCCCATGCGACAGCGCTGTATTAATCAGCCCGCGCATCATGGCGCCCTTCTTCCGGACGCTGCTCCACGCGTCAAAGGTGACGTGTTCGACAAAGGGCATTTCGGTGAGCACGTCCGTCAGCAGACCACGGGAGAAGCCCTCGTAAAAGTCGTCGGCGCGACGGAAGCCATTAAAAATGCCGTCACTGGGGTCGCACTCGACAAAAACGGTCAGCTTGCGCACGCTGGTGCATTCGTGCAATCCCAGGGCCGGGTTGACAACCCAGCCGCGCGGTGGCTTGTTCCAACCGGGGCCGAGGCGCATCTCGAGACTGGTGATCCAGGAGCGCTGGCGGGCGCTCATGCGGGCAAGCAGAGGCTTCTTGGTCTTGAAGTGCTTGCCTGGGTGGGTGGGGAAGATGCGGAAGGTGTGTGTGCTGTAGAAGAGGTAGCCGGCCTCGAGACTGATGGTCCGACAGGTGCGCAAGAAGCCCAGCTTCTTGTGGATGCGCCTGTAATTGTCTGGGTCTAGGTCGAGGACGTAGTGGGTGTCGTCGAAGAAATATTCGTAGATCTTGACTCGTAGTTCGGCCGGCAGCTCTAGGAAGGGAAACGGCTTTTGTTTCCTTCTGGCTAGTCGGGAGAGAGGCTTTGGGGGGGCAGAAGCTTCACCCGTCGCTTCGGCAGAGCCAGCCAAGGTTAATGCGCCCATGGCTTTGGTGACATCCTCGCCGACTTGTCCTTCAATTCCCCCTTCAACCTCTCCGTCAACGTCCCCCTCGGCCTCGGAGGCATAAGTCGACGGATAGGCAGAACTCAGCGGAGTATTGAGATTAGAGGGGATCGGGGTCGGAGGGGCATGAAGCGAGTTGTCCACAACGGTCGCGACGGTGCGGGACGTCCTCGTGGTGATTCTACGCCCCACTAGTTGTTGGGTGGCTTTGCGAGGCATTGTGGTGTAGATCGTCGTCTAACGACAGGGCGAGCGAAGAAAAGGTTGAGAGATACGGTAAGCAGAAGTAGTGATGATTATGATATCGCGATCCTGGCAAAACACAAATAAGCAGTCTGTAGGGCTGACTGGCGCCACTGTACTTTCGGGACGCGAAGTGGCAAATGTTGAATGTCAAGGGCTTGGGTAGGGTGAGAGATGGATGTAAGTGGATGTTGTAGGAATCTGGAAGGATAAAATATCGGTTCTGAGATGGTTCAGTTTCTTCTGACTCTTGGCTTTAAGCTCGATGCGTCGATGATAGTAGTAGGTCTAGGCTGTGTGTGTGTGTGGTTGAGTACGCAGAACTCTGAGAGGGTGGTCCCATCGTGAGTACTGAATGCGCAACGACTGGACCACCCTCTAGAATGCATTCGCGGAAGCCATGGTGGGCGGCGATAGTTGGAAGTTGGAATGGTAAGTGGCAGGGAGTTGTAGAGCGCGGACTGGACTTTTTTTTTTTTTTTTTTTTTTTTTTGGATGATTGATAATGACGGTTCGGGTGGCGGAGAAGGAGTGGACTTTGCGTTTGTGCTTGGATCACCGCAGCCGTTCGAGCGTTGGATGAATGATGATATGTTCCAGAAGAAACAGAGAAGACGGGAGTGGGAAGGAGAGAAGATGGGTTGGAAGCAGAAGAGGGCAAGTGTTAAGGATTCGTCAATTGTATCGATTCGGTTCCGTCTCGGCCCGCTAGAATGATGCAGAAACGAAACGAGCAAGAAGTGGTCACCTACCGAGAAGTGCAGGTGAGGGGAAGGCAATTAATTGAGTGGACGATGTTGAATGGTTGGATGTCCATCACAGCAAAACACGGCATCGCTGTATCGCTGTGCAGACGATTTGCTTTGACCGACGCATTACATAAGCTGTACGCGGATACTAACAGGGTTAGGGTGAACATGAGAAATCATCACAAATGATCGCCAAGAAGAGGTATTGTACTGTAACAGAAAAACATCCACTTAGCATATGGTTTCACCTGGGACTTTTGAGGTGATCAAGTCGTCAGTCAGGTCACCCAAGCTTCCCATCGTTTGGATAGCAACTGTGTGGTTGGGAGAAGAGCGAAGTGGTCTGAATGGCTCAGAAGAGCTTATCGAAGACCAGTCATACCTTTGAATGCCCGGTACTTGATTATTTCGCAACTCCCCTTCATTATAATAATACTTGCTCATTTCCCCGCAAGAGTTACTGCTCATTTTCAAGCATCTGTAGGCGCAATGCCACTCAGTGGAAGAGTACATAGTGTCACTGTCGCCTAACGTTTTCAGTATCTGCAGTCCTATGAACGACACCTGTCAGATCATGCTTGAATCATCCGAAAGACATAGGATCTCGGACACCTGTCGTAATAGATAGTCTCCTGGAGACGAGATCAAGACTTTTATCTTTTAAGCCATTGGAGTTGAGATGGTGAATTGGAGATTACAGACGTGATTTTCATCCATCCATGCAACAACCAAAAGCTAAAAGATGACGACATGTCCCCCACTGTCTTTGACGCTTAACTCCGTATGTGGGGCCATTGGGGCCGGGAACAAGAACTCTCAGAGGGAACTCAAAGGTCTGTGCACGGCGGCCTTGGAAGATCCAGCAACCGACCCCTCCTTCATGTCTGATTGGACCAAAAGAAGCGCGCCAAGGCTGAAGTTCAACCAGCAGCGTTGTGACGGAAGGTTCAGGACTCAAGTTTTTTTTTTTGGGCGGGCAGCCGGCCAGGCGGGAAGCTTGAGTGTGTGGAATTGGAAAGTTTGGTTTGGATCCATATCATATCGCTATCAGGCCCAGCGGATACTGACTGACTGCAACTGACTCCGACGCCCTGAATTTCCGTTATCCTATTGTTATCGTCACTTGTTTCCACCACCTACCATAGAGGCAGCAACCAGCTCCTCCCCCCCTCCTGCAACTACCCGGGCATCCATCCACCTTCGGTTTCCATCACTAGGGGACACTCGACACCACACAGCTCCAAACAGCTGCTGCTCTTTGTGTGTCCAACCCATATCAGTCATGATGCTGTCCAGAGCTGCCGTGCGCTCCATCGCGGGCGCGCGTGTTGCAGCTCACGCGGCGTCGCCTCTTCTGTCGCAGCGCACCCTGCCCGCCGTCTGGACCCGTTCCATGGCCAAGGACAACAAGCCTCCCAAGTTCACCAAGCCCGAGAGCACTCCCGCGCAAAAGGCTACTCCCAAGGCCCCCGAGCCCGCCGAATCCGAGAAAGCTGAGCAGAAGCAGCAGCAGCAACAACAACAACAACAACAACAAACCCCAGCCGAATCCGAACCCGAACCCGAAATCGACCTGTCCAAGCTCCCCGATCTAAGAGGTGGTATTCCCACCACCCTAGAGTATGAAATGGCTCAGAAGGAGGCCGGCAAGAAGCCGGTCGCCGGTGAGGAGGCAGAGACACAGGCCGAGGGCGCCGAGGGCCCTGAGGCCGCTACGTCAGGCAGCGGTGGCGGTGGCCGCAAGAAGGGCCAGCTCCCCGATTCTGCCTACGTTTCTTCTACCGAGAAGCGCCGCCAAAAGATGGCCAACTGGGCCTTCATTGCCGCTGGTCTCGCCTTGGTGGGTGGAACGATCTACTTGGGCAGGGAATGGGATGAGGAGGAGCTTGAGAAGCACCATGATATACCGAATGGCTGGGGTCTTGGCCTGTGGTGGAAGAGGGCCAAGGCCAGGATGACTGGAACCGTCAGCTACTACCAGGAACCTGCCTTCGAGAAGCTGCTACCCGACCCGGATCCGTCCTTCGAGCGCCCGTACACCCTCTGTATCAGTCTGGAAGATATGCTGGTGCATAGCGAGTGGACGCGCGACCACGGCTGGCGTCTCGCCAAGCGTCCCGGTGTCGACTACTTCTTGCGCTACCTCAGCCAGTACTACGAGATTGTTCTCTTCACCAGCGTTCCCTTTGCCAACGCTGAGCCTATTGTCCGCAAGATGGACCCGTACCGCTTCATCATGTGGCCCCTCTTCAGGGAGGCGACCAAGTACAAGGATGGCGAGATCGTCAAGGTAGGACCACCCAGAGCTGTCAAGATTGCACCGTCACAGTAGCTAACCAACCATTGTCGCACAGGACCTTTCTTATCTCAACAGAGACTTGTCCAAGGTCATCATCATTGATACTGACCCCAAGCACGTGCGCGCCCAGCCCGAGAACGCCATTGTCCTCCCCAAGTGGAAGGGTGATCCCAAGGATACCGAGCTCGTGTCCCTCGTTCCCTTCCTTGAGTTCATCCACACCATGAACTTCCCTGATGTCCGCAAGGTCCTCAAGTCCTTCGAGGGCCAGCACATCCCCACCGAGTTTGCCCGTAGAGAGGCCATTGCCCGCGCTGAGCACAACAAGCTCGTTGCCGCCAAGGCCAAGAAGGCTGGCTTGGGCTCGCTTGGCGCCCGCTTCGGTATCAAGCCTAGCAAGCTGAACCCCATGGCCATGGAAGGCGAGGAGGATCCTTCTGAGGCTTTTGCTAAGGGCAAGATGATCCAGGATATTGCCCGTGAGCGTGGCATGCGCAACTACCTGGCCATGGAGGAGGAGATCAAGAAGAACGGCGAGATGTGGCTCAAGATGGAGCAGGAGGCCCAGGAGAAGGCCCAGAAAGAGATGATGAAGAACATGCAGAGTTCCGTCTTTGGCTGGTTCGGCGGTGCTCCCAGCGGCGAGCAGCAGTCCGGCGAGTCGGAGAAGAAGGCCTAATCGACCAAACGAATCCGCCCCCTCAGTCATCCGCGACGATATGTATCAACACCTTGTGACCATTTTCTTGTACTTTTACCATGTCTTTGCTATTTGTTTTTTCCATTTTCCATTCTCTGTCTATGATTGGCGTCACTACAGGGATCTACCGGACTTCTCTACTCCGGTCATGGTATTCTTCCTTCACATGCGGAGCATTGGAATAGGCGTGGGTCACTTAGGAAAGAGAAGGTTTCATACATTTACATAATCTGTCTGAGGGTGTGGTTCTAGAGGTGCTGTAGAATGTCTCTCAACGAAAAAAGTTATGACAATTCCAACACTTTTCAATATCACTTCAGGCAAACATCCCTTCTCAGCAAGAAGTCTTGTCTGTTCGCCTCCCTGCATTCCATTTGTGATTCCAAGAGCACGTTACTGTGTGACCGCAAGTCGAGGGAACATCCTAATCGAAGAACACCCACTAGCTCACTTGGCTTCTCTCGATATCACAGCCGCCTCGCGTTAAGCGAGGTATTTGTCCTCGTATTGTGAGCGAGCACAGTCCCACCAGTCGAACCCGGTGCTTTATCAAAGAAAGTCATTGGCATTGAGCTTGGGTTGGCGCAACTCAACACCTTATTGCATTGGATATTTCCTCGTCCAGTGTTGCGAGGACTGTGACATGTCAGCCTTGACATATTCCGGATCAGGGGTAGGATAGCCGATACTGATTCGATGAGATGTTACGCCTTTGAGCGAACCCCTCTTGACCACGCCGTCGGGTCAGAACTGTGAGGAGCACAGTCGAGATACTGGATCTTTGTGACCAGGGTCACTCATCAATGTCTGGAGACCTTTTCTTTCCACCAGGTATGTTGGCAAGTCCCTCTGGTCACTGCTCCCAGATCTCACAAGCCATGAAAATCCAGTAGGCAGATAACCGTTGCACTGCTTGAGGTCATAGATCTGGAGTTCTACCTAACTTGGAGGTTACTCTTGATAGCTGCTACTGCTGTGCTTCGGTTCGAAGTTTCTTCACTGGTCGGAAAAACCGCAACGACTCGCCACTTTGCACCCTTTCAATAAGCAATCACTACAGTTTGTGCTTCTTCTAGAAGCGGACATGATAACTTCGATCATCTTGGTGTGCTCATGGTGTTTTGTCCACCGAAAATGAGCGAGCAAGAAAGCATTTAAACGACAATGGACTCCTCTCAGCAGTGTCGAAAGAATTCCAACCTCCAACTTGACATCCTCACCACTCCTCAATCCTTTCAACACAACTTTCTGACACTTTCAACCAAGTCCACTGGCTAGTCCGCCGCCAACAACATGCATATCCACTCCCTTCTTGCCCTGACCCTGGCAGTCACCACCTCGGCCTTGCCCTCCCTTCCAGGATGTCTCGTGACCGATGAGAACTACTCTCGCGCCTGCCGTGAGGTCGGCCCCGCGCAGAGCAAGCTGGAAATTGTCGACGGCCAGAAGCAGCAGAACCGCGGCGGTCTCCAGGGCCAGATCGAATATGTCGACCAGCAAATCGGCAAGGAGATCGAGTGCCCCGGTTGCGGCAAGAACATCGTCGGTGACCTTGCCCAGTCCAGATCCATCGATCATAACAACAAGGTTACTGGCCAGGGTGAGCAGCAGCTTGATATGATCCATGGACAGACCCATGAAGAGTGGATGGGTGTGGGCCAGCAGCAGCAGGACAGCATGGTGAGTCTTCAGAGAATCCATTATCTCTATCACGCTCAAATCTCGGCAATACACACTAACGATCAACTCTTTTACCACAATACAGCCCCATGGCCAGAAGTCCAACTTCAAGACTGGCCAGAATCAGAAGCGCAACCATCACCTCGGCCAGCACTTTGACGACCAGTCCAACACCCACGGCTCCGTCATGAACACCGGCAAGACTCAGCAAGATGAGCTTCTTACCAAGGGCCAAGCCATGACCCAAGAGCTCTACAATACCATGGGCCAGACCAACGGCCGCATCCAGGAGCGTGACATCACCCACAACTGGGCCAACCAACTCAACCAGGGCCAGAACCAAGAGCAGCAGGAGCAATTCAACAAGGGTACCCAGCAGACGGAGGGTCTCTACACCACCAGCAACACCCACGGTGTCATCCAGGAGTTCAACAAGGGCGGCCAAAACCAGCAGCTCTACAACGGTCAGCAGGTGGGTACTACTAACCAGCTGTACAAGACCGGCCAGAACGGTATCCTCATGACCACCAACCCCAACCATGAGCAAGAGCAGTTCAACAAGAACCAAGGCCAGGGTCAGCAGCTGTATAATGGTCAACAGACTCACCAGCAGCAGCAGCAGTGGAACAACGGCGGCGGCCCCAACGACATCCTCATGACTACAACCCACCAGTTCTACCAGGGCCAACCCATCAACACTCAGCAGCTCCAAAACAAGGGCCAGGGAGTCCAACAGCACTTCCCGCGCCAACCCATCAACACTCAGCAGCTGAACAAGATCGGCGGTGAACAGACCCAGCAACTCAATAACGGCAACTGGAACCACCAAACCACCCAAGAGCTCTTCAAGAGCACCACCAACGGCATCATCCAAGTCCGTCACGAGACTGCTGGCGAGCATTTCGATGGTCAGGAGGAACAGCAGCAGTTGGCCGCCGGTAACAGCCAAAGCAAGCAGCAGCAAGAGGAAATCGACCTTGGCGGCGGCCAGCACAAGAACCAACAACAAGAAGCTGTAGTAGTCTTGTCTCCCAAGCAAATGATGGACTTTGTTGCTGCTCAATCCAAGCATCAACAGCAGTGGGTTAGGGAGCAGGTGGTTACTGTGGATGGCAAGCAGCAGGAGGTTTGGACTTGTGTTTAGTCACTGACTGACTTTAGTCAGTTAGTTAGTCTTCCCAGCTGAGAAGGATGGGGAAGATGGCTGGATGGATGGATGGATGGATGGATGGATGGATGGATGGATGGGAAAGAATGGATTCAAATGAGTTGGATGATGAGATGAGATGATAACGATGTTCAAGTTTCATGACGCTGATGCTGATGCTGATGCTGCCTGTGACAGGTGGTAAACAGCTACTTTTCGAGAAAGGGTATAGTGCATTGATGTCTCAATGGGTTCAACGCCTTTCACTCGTTTGGTTGTTGAAGGGGTTTTTCTATTCGAGGGCGATGTTTTATCTGTTTTGTTGTTTTCTAGTGCTTTTGAGAGGATAGCAATGGAGTCGCTCGTTGAATTATTGTTGTTCTTCGGATAAAAGTAAAGCAAAGTGAAGTGACTGTCATGCGGAAAACGAAACCGAGATGCTGGCGAAATCTTGCCAGACTCTTCACTTGCCCTTTACATACTCGGTTTTGACGCCATGGTCATTGGACGTCTCAATCCGAAGAAAGTCTGTCGTGTTATTGCCCATTGATGGAAGGAAGAAGGAATGTTCGAACCACCTTAGCAGAACCGATTCACCTACGGATACACATACACCCAGCAATCACCAAGTTTTGAAAGCCGAGCATCAAAGTGCCGTTGTCTCATTCATCCCCTTCATCAAAAAGTATCCCTTGCGTAACTTATTGAACTCCAGTTTCCATTCCATGCCGGTTGGTCGGTTGATCATTGACAACATTACTGGTATATACATAAACATAGTGATACCCACAAAGTTGATGCTTTAGAGTTTCCAAATTTCCTCCAGTTCTCTCATCCCCTCCTTTCTCCTTTCATCCAAAAAAAAAACGCTGTCCTCCGGTATGTATACGAATCGAGTCGCGGGTATAAGTCACGTCACGCCAATCATCAGAATACCATCACCACTCCATTTCCATATTTTGTTTTCTCTTCGAAAACCTCGTCTCATGGATCCGCACCTTCCGCCGTCATCCCAGCCGAAGTTCCTTTTATCCCTTCTCCTACTGCGGGACTGTGACTCTCCTTATCTCTTGCAGCTGTCGTGCTCCTGGTGCTCTCCGAGCGATCGATATTTGCAGTAACAGCACCGCTTCCATTCCCCTTCTCTTTCTCCACCTGTTCATTTACTTTGATGGTCCTCTCGGGCTTTTTCCCCTTTGTCGTTACTGAGGTTTCCTCGCCCGAGTCACTCTCCGTCGATGTTCGGACACTCTCCGATACTGACGTACGAGCTGCGCTACTCTCTCCTTGGAATGTTATGTTGATGTTCGGAGGGTTAGACGCCGATTCCTCTGTGCTGGCCGCGTTATTATTGCTCCCCTCTCCTATCCTTATCTCCTCTTCCGGCTCGACGACAATGAGTGGCACTGAGTCGAGACGCAGACTTGGCAATCTGGTCGGTAGGTTCACGGTTCCGACACCTCCTCCCCCTGAGATGCTCCTCTGGTGAGCAAGGGTTCTGCCTCCATCCGTGCGCGTAGAGAGCGATGTCTCTTCGGCTGATGGTGCTGGTGATGGACCGGGGTATTCCGGAGGGGGTTCGTTGTACGGAAGCGGCGTCATGGTGGTGGGGCTGTTCCTACCGGATACAGCAGCAGAGGCAACCGGGGAGCGGAAGGGAGTTAAGTCGTCCAAGCGAACGTCTTCGTAACCTGGCGGAGGCGGCATGTTGACGGCGCCCAGGTCAGCATCATCGGCATCGATCATCTCAGGGCTGGATCCAGCGCGCGGGGTATTGGCAGCCGAGTTTGCCCTGGACCTGGATATCGATCGTCCGCGTTCTTGGCTGTTGCGCGTAACGAGGCTGAACGTGCTGCTACCGCCCGCTCCAGTCAAGGGTGTAGCCACAGTCGACGAATCGAGGAACTGATCACCCAATCTGGAGGTGTCGATACTGAGTGAGCTCGAACCCCTCCGGTGGTGGGTGGCGGAAGTACTAGGCCTTACACCCTGCTGCGACGCCGCCATGCTCGCCGCATCGCTCAGCAACCCGACCCTTTCGCTTTCCGTGCTGTTAGCCCGGATGCGAGTGCCATCCGCCCTAGCGACACCCAAGTCCGCATACTGTACACTGCTCGTCGCGCGCGATCGCAACTCCCTGATGCGATTGTGTTCCTCACGAAGCACCTCCAGTTCCTCGGTATTCCGGGCCGTCTGAACCCGCGCCTGCTCTCTAATCTGGCGCAAAGCTGCAGAGTTATGGGCTTGCCGAGCCTCTTGGCGCAGTCGTCGCCGCTCCTCCCGCTCTTGGTTCGCGCGCCGCCTTGCCACGCGAATCTGGTACAGTGCCTCCATTTCCTCGTCACGTAGATGCTCCTCATCCTCCGCAGTCGGCATCTCCACCACCACGTCGATACCGTCGCGCTCGCCTTCTCTACCTAGTACTCGCTCGTTCTCGCCTGGGGCTGGCCGGTAGGGCGGGAGTGTCATGATGCTGCGGATCGACTGGTTACGGTTTACCTCAGCTGTCGTTCCTCCTGTCGCTCCTGTTCTGCCGGCTGCGGCGGCAAGTCGAGCGTTCACCGCAGTGAGTGTCTCCTCCATGGCGTCCTGATTTGCTCGGTTGTGACTGTTGTACTCTTCGTCGATGCCGGCCTGAGCGTAGGCATGCTTGACAGGCGGGACCTTCCATTTGGTCCACAATCGCTTTAAGAAGGGCGTGGGTATGTATTTTGGGTTGGGATGCCTGGCGCGGACGGCGCGTAAGGTGAGAGTGATGGATAACATCAGGGCGATTACGGCAACGACAATGGCGACAATCTGCAATGGGAAGCAATTGTTAAGAGAGGAACACCATTTGATCTGGAATAGAGAGGCCTACAATGCTAGTTTGGGTGGGCTTTTGGGAAGAGGGAGCATTTGGGTCCGGGGCTATGTCGATGCGTGGCCATAACCTGACTGACATCGAAACGGCATTGGGCTCCAGTGACGGATGAGAAGCCCGGATCGGTATCCGTGATTGTGTTACAGGCATCTTGGCTGATGGTGGATATGTGTACTGGTATATATATTTAACAGTTCGAAGAAGCGGCCTCGTCGACGATCAATGGGTTGAAATTATCCTCTGACTAGAAGGCCGATGTCTCTGCATTGCTCTTGGTCGTCGTCTGTCGATGGAACGCAAAGTCGTGAACCGGGAAGAGGCAACTCGGCAATCGTCACACAGCCCTCCGCAAGTTGACAACGCCAATGAGAGTGTTGAGGCGCGGTTGGGGGCGTTACCGGTCTCCAAAGGGTCGCAATACGCGGTGATATACGCGGTGATCGGCCTTGTACAGCCGTTCGACGGGAGTAATAATCTCTTAATGTCGGCGGCCGGTGCAGATATGCAGAGGTAGTGTAGAGTGTGGTATGTGTATGTAAAGGTTGAGGCAGTATTGATTGACACGGTCTGCTATTCGCACTCACCAAGCGAAACAAGCGTAGACACAATACCCATGGAGATATACGACTAAGCAGATGGGCGATGGAAACAGAAAAATCCGCCTTGGCGGCTGAACAAATCGACCAAGATGAAGTTGAAAGGGTTCAATTAGTTGGAAGAGAGAACAAAGAGGAAATCGCTATCATGCTTCGCATTTTCCACCTAATCTTTCGGTAAGGCGGGCGGGCGGGCAAGCGTGCGACCTGGGAGGGCTGGGAAGTGGAAGCAAAAGAGAGACAGGGAAGGCCTGAGTTTGGGCCATTCAGAAGCCAAACAAATTGGCAGGGGCTGTCAACGGTCCATCCAGCAGGCCCCCACTGGGCAGTGCCGCCTCGTGTTGCCCCAGCGGTGTTGCGCAGTTGTTTACCATACCCCTTGGGAATCCGGTAGGGCGGTACTGCAAGAGCAACAAGAGGGTGCAGGGCAACAACCGTGAACTACATCTCTGGGTACCGGGAAAAAGACTGTTTTTAGAAAGACTTTACTTTATGACCTATGTAGGCTCGTTGTTGTTTCAAGTTCAACTTTTTCATGACTTTCCTGCCTCGAAGAATATCACACCCCAAGACCCTCACTAACAGACAGCCAAACTGTTACATAGGCGGTCTTGAACCCCACGGCATCAAAACAACGAATGGAACACCAAAGTCCCACAGTGGATCGCTTTCCCATCCCAACCGAACGTCCTCTTTCATTTTCAGGGACGGGCACTTTTACCTATTTGGACGACATCAACCACAGCACTCAACCATACATATGAAGACGATGTCCTGGAACTCTCACTGATTGTTTCGTGGCTAACATGGGCCCCTCGGTCTCTTGTCCATGTCCAAGCGCACTGCCATCTATTGTGGCTTTATCTGAGGCCGATCTCCAACTTACAACCAAGGTCGGTTCTCAAGGGAGTGGCTGAGTGGGACGTCTGACGGGATACCTACCCACTGCCACCGTCCTTTGAGATCACCACGACCACTCGGTCCAGGCTGTGCATACACTCGATCTTCTGTTCCTGCGCGGTTGTCCTTGGTCGACACTGATTTGGGCATGGTCAATCGTCTATTTGTGTACACTATGTACAGTGCAAAGGGTCCAACAAAGGGAAGCTTGTGCAAAGTAAGAGAGGCACAAAGGATCTACGTAGATCCCATCTAGATCACCGCCATGAGCTCTTCCGGCCATCCCATCCTCCATCTTCTATTTCCAGTCGGCGCTAGCACGCAATCAGGTCAACGTGCAGAGCAATCCCCGCATACGCTGCCCTTGCCTTTGCGATATGTACCCTACCGACAGACATGTCCGAGCTACGCAATACATACTGCGCATTCTGAACACATACATACATATCAGGATACAATCCCGCTTCGTCTGTCCAATAATACTTGCCCATCCGTATATACACGGCATGGCCGGATTTATGGCAGTTTATTGCTTCCTCTTCTCCGTGTCTGCGGGGTACGGGGTGAGATGGTATACGTGTGTCTCAACTCTAATATTACTGACTTTGTGCCTCAAAAAAAAAAAAAAAAAATCGTATTGTAGTTCTAGAATCCTTAGCTGCTGCCTGTTGTAATCACCGAGAGACAAACATCTATTGACTATCGGACAGCCACGATTGCCTGAATGGTTCGATGACTGCCAGCGTGTCCCGACTCATCTTTTCAGTGCAAAAGTGCGACAGATGTAAACCTTGACTGCTATTCAAAGATGGGCAGTCTTGTTGTTCCACCTAAGACGTCCGGACTCTCGTCAGTCAAACTGGACACTCTGACTTGGTCAAAGGGGAACTTACAAATCCAGAAACAACTTCCACAGAATGGAAAACATCAAGCCCTGAAGGCCATTGCACAAAATCCGCGTCTTCAATCCGCGGCCAAGCAAGCCCTTGATGCCATCATTGACAATAACCAGCCTCGCTGCTTCGGCTAGACACAACATGTTAGCGTAAAACAATCCTCTTGCTGAAGATTCACAAACAAAGGGGGGAAGGACTCGTCCGTCCAAACTCACAATAAGAGACCTTCTTATCGTTGACCTGCCGATACGTCTTCACCACCCTCAACGAATTCGACACCGAGTCGCTCACCACGCTGGCCACGAATCCCGCAAACGCCAATCTCAGCAACCAGATCCCCAACGGGTGCTTCGCCGGCTCCGGTATGATCTCCAGCAAATAATCATGCGTCGCATACCACGGGTAGTTGCCCACAAAAGTCGCCGCGGCCGTCGCAAAGGCGCCCCACCAGAGACTGCCGATGCCGTCCGTCTTGATACGTTGCCGGAGGATGGCGGTGCCTCGGGGTCCCTGAGCTTGGAGCGTGGTTTTCAAAGTGTCGATGGGTGTCAGGATCATCCGGAAGGCGGCGGCGCAGAGCGAAGCGAAGATATCCTGGATCGTGATGGGCAGGCGCTTGAGAAAGGAGTTGGATTGGAGAAGGGCGTGGATGCCGGCGTTGGCGGCGGTGTCGCCGAAACGGGCTGCTGGTCCTGCGGTTGTGCTTTGCGTTTGAGTCAAGGACTTTTGAGAGTTGTTGATAGGGCCTCACTCACCTTGAAAGAGAGCAGCTCCCATTCCATCGTAGTACCGACGGAGGCCACCCTGTCGGTAGAGAGTCTTGGTGGCGGTGGTGAATGAGGTGCCGAAGCGGTATTGGTAGTTCATGATGGTTCGTAAGGGCTGGATAAGGGTAAGTGACTGCCTTGCTCAACATCAACGGTGAGAGTTGAAAAGATCACATACCATCAAAAGCAACACCTGAAGCACCATGGCCGCAGCACCGCTTATACCACCACCCAAAGCCCGTTTAAGCGCTCCCTTCAGGTCGAACTAGAGATGATGAGGTCCATTAGTATCAGTCCAAGTCAAACACTTACGAAAAAAGTCCTGGGGAAGGTGATGATGCAGCAACCCACGTTGACATCCGCCCCAGCATCGATCCAAGCCTTGACAAAGATAACCGTCACTGTGATCGCAGCAACAGTCCAGAATATCCTCCAAGCAAAGTAACTGCGCGTATATCTGCTTCTTTCATCTTGTTCTGCCTCCTCAACAGTATCATCATCAGGCCCTGCTCGATGATCACTTTGGCTTATCAACAGCGGCGTCTCCTCGTTGATAGTGGTTGTCTGGCTTTGGCCGCTCTCGATATCATCGTCAGGAGTTTTGGTGGGTGGCATGGTTTTATCCAGACGAACTTTTAATGAGTAGGATAAAGAGAGCTTTCGATGATGGAAATAGTCGTGTTGTTGATGTAGTTATGGTTGAATTCTGGATGTATTATGTTTTTTTTTGTTCTGATGAGAGATATCGCCTGATAGGCTGCCAGCCGATCCCAGTCGTATCCCCCGCAGCAGACAGATTACCAATCGGTGATGACGTGCTAATCTCGGCCCCTTTGGTGGTCGGTATGAGACACCCATCTGTATATCTTTGAAGTTTTGGGTTTTTATAATCGGGTTGTTCATATGATGAGTTTCAACCTCCACCGATCGATTATGTTCGGTGTCAAGATCAACAATCGCCTTACGTCGAGTTGATGAAAACGATGTGCAACACTGCGAACATTCACGAAAACCACGCTAGCATGTGGTATTAATGGATAGTAAACAAACCAATGTGTGTCGACAATCCCATCTATAGTACCATCCATCCCCAACTTATATTTCCCAATAGCCCCAGCTCGCCGGCGAAGTACTGAATGGAGGTGTAATTCCCCGATGCTTGAGCGGGAGTGATGGTAGCACTCATGTTGAAAGCGCGGTCCCAGGCGAGCGTGTCGCGTTCCGGCCAGCCTTCCCTCTCGTCGGAATGCGTAAAACGCTCGAAGTCTTTCAGCGAAGTGAGGTTGTGCGGGTTGACTGTCAACTAGGAGAAATAGGTCGCTATGCGGGGGAAGTCAGTATTTAAGACGAGGTTCTCAAAGACAGATTGTTCCTTTTTCGTAGTCTCATAGCCGGGGAGGAAGAGGTCGTTGATGATGATGGCGCCGGCGGAGCGGAGGACGGAGAGAGCTGCTTCGAAGGCGGGGAGGACGGGCGCGCAAGGGTCGAAGGCAGGATCGTCGAGTTCGATGAGATTACGTGGGACGCCAATTCGAGCACCGCGCAGGGCGAGGTAGTCGCAGGCGCCGACGTAGTCGGGGATTTTGTCGACGGGTCCTGCTGAGGATAGTATACCACTCCCTCAGTCTGACCTCTGGTAGCAGATCAGCTTGATGTGTAATTTTTGCTGCGATTGCTGGCCCATTGAGAAAGGTTTGTTTTGCCAAGGATGACGGCGCCGGCTTTCCTCAACTCAGCGGCCACTGTGCTGTCATCGGACACTTTGGCTCCGACCAAAGCGTATAAACCGGCTGTATTATCCATCTTGTCTGGCGTGGTAATGTTGTCTTCGAGCAGGATTGGGATGCCATCTAACGGACCCATGATCGTGCCGTTTGTTCGAGCAGCATCCTCTGACGCCATCGAGAGGGCATTGGTGTTGAGCTGGGTGACAGCCTTGAGGGTAGAGTTCACCTCCAGAATACGGCGGGTATAGGCATTGACGAGATCGATGGTGGTGGTGAATGAGCCCTTCTCAAGCCCGGCAGCTAGATCTTCAAGATCAACATCCAGTAGTGATGGGAAATGTACGCAATTGCCGGCTGAGCCCAAGAGTGGCTTTTGCGAGCAGAAGGCATCGCGATACCATGATGACGCGAAGGCTGTGGCTACAGGAAGGAGACAAAAGACTGTAGGAACTTTATCTTCGACAACGGGAAGGATGGAGCAAGGGCTCAACGATGAACAATGGTTGAGAGCACAGAGAAGTAGAATCGCTGGGTGAGAAGATCGCGATGTTTATACGGAGGTCGAGAAGTGATAGATGCGAACACCCGATAGATGGTGTCAGATCATCGAACCCCGACATCCTCACCGTCCGCAATGGATGTGAAAGATGGCTGGTATACGCGATAGAAGTTGGGCTGTATCGTTCAGATACGAGGCGGGAAGTTGGACTGTCTGTTGGGAATACCCTGTGAATGGTGTCAGGTTACCGACATCGAGCTAGAGGACCAACGGGATCAAGACGCGATGTCGCCGATCCAGTCTATCCTGGTATTTCACCATGTTCTTTCTATATGCAACCTGCTTCTTCACACCCCGAGCTTCTAGCCCAGGATTGCAATGAAAGAGGGTGAGCACAAGCAAGATGTAGTGTGGTTCGCGTCGCCTGGAGGCAGTGTAATACCAGGGACACAGTGGAAGGTAACCATGTGCAAGCACAGAGGGAAACCGACCGAGTTGCAAAAATTAGAATAATCACGATTGTACTCCGTAGAGCACTTTCAGAGATTAAACTGAAAAGAACAGATACTACACTTGATCTAAGCCAAAAGGCAAAGAGAGCTGAAGAAGAAAAGAAGAAAACAGGAGCAAAAGTGGGAGGGGTGGCCGGCATTATATACCCTCCCGGGTCTCCTGGGGCTGGTCTGTGCACGAGTGCAAATTATCCGTGCACGAGTGCAAGTCGTCGTTCGCAGAATGGGTGGAGTCGGCATTTGCCAGTGAGGTCCATGGTTCCACCACATGTCAGGCACGCCCGCCCACTCCTCCACGTGCAGGGCGGGCACAACGGAATATGTAGGCAGGTCGGATATGGGGGCGGGGTCTCGGTTCCCGTTTGCAACGCAATCCGGCACCATCCACCACCACTGCAGCTTCTCTTTGTCGAGCTCAACCTCACCACTCCAGCAGATCATGTATCTTCGACCTTTCACAAAACAAGGAGTGGGACAAATCAACTGTTAACTGTCTTGACTTGGTATCAATTGCATGCTAAACTGTCAAATTTCAAAGGATGACGCATTTGGACGGCAATCCGCAAGGCCCTTCTTTGGTTTCCTTCTGCTTAGTAGGTTGCTGTTCTTGCTTCACGGGTTCCTTCTTCTGCTGCGGCGCCGGCTTGGGTTGCGAAGCTGTTTGATTGGCAGCAACAGCAGTTGCTTTCGCGCCAGTGTCACTTGTCTTCGCCTTCTTCGAGCCTTTAAAGGAGAATCACCGTTAGCAACCACTCGCAGAGACATCGCTTTCGCGCACATTACAACCAAAGGATGCATACCAGTTGCAGTTTCTCACGCACCGGTAAGCTTGGACAAGGTGTTGTAGAACTCCTCGCCCTGAATGCCCGCAACCTTCAACTCGCTCTCGCTGGGCTGCCTGCTGCCATCACCACCGGAAAGGGTGCCAGAACCCCAAGGGCTGCCGCCGTGGACCGCCGAGAGGTCGGACAGCTCACCGAACACCTTGGCGTAGCCGAGAGGCACATAAATGATGCCGTGGTGGGCGAGGGTGCTCATGGCCGCAATGGCAGTCGACTCCTGGCCACCGCCGAGACCAGCAGTGGAGATGAAGAGACCGGCCGCCTTGCCGTAGAGACCGCCGGTGGCCCAGAGCCCACCGGTCTTGTCCCAGAAGGCCCTCCACTGGGCAGGGAAGTTGCCGTATCTGGTGGGGATGCCGAAGAGGAAGCCATCGTACTCCTTGAGGATCGCAGGGTCCTCAATGACGGGGATGTCGGTGGGCTTGGGCGGGGCGTACATCTTGGCGAGGACCTCGTCGGAGAGGGTCTCGGGGACTCTGATGGATATGTCAGCGCACTCGTCCAAGCGGTGGATCGCAGAGTATTGGTCTACTCACTGGTAGAGGTCGGCAGTGCCACCGGCCTTCTCAATGCCAGCCTTGGCAGCCTCAGCAAGCTGCCTGATGTGGCCGTACATAGAGTACTAGAGATTGTTGATTAGCCGTTTGTCCGACACATCAAGAACGACGGATACCTACGTAAACAATCGCGATCTTGGGCGCCATCTTGATTAAGGATATTAATTAGGTATGAGTGTGGGTATATTAGAGTATGGTATGAAAGAGTAGACGTTCTTGTGGGAAGAATTTGAATGTACAGAGCATGTGGCACAGTCGTCCTTATATACGATGAACTCCTCCTCATGGGATCAGGGGTCGTCTTGAAACCAGCGGGATGAACCTGCAATCCATCAACGCCGATAACACGTTGTGAGACCGATCTGGATTCGTCATGATTACCGTAATCAACTGCAAATCGGCAACAAAGGGTAACAGCGTCCGCTGGAGAGCAGATCGGGAGGGCTCTAGGCTCGCAGATCCTCCATCATGCGACGACCTTTCCCTAACTGGCTGGAAATGGTGTCATTGATTCCCGTACGACGTGGTATCATTGTAATTACAAGCACTGTACATATGGTTGCTTAGCTCATCGGACTGGAGCATTGCTGAATAACGGATGACAACGCCCGGGATACCTGACTCGGCCTTCGTTGTTCAGCCTTCAGTAAGCGGGGCGACTCGCTTGTTGGGAAGGTGGGTCAAGGGTGAACCCCGGCTCGAGTCATTCGTAATGCTTTGTTACCATTGACAAACTTTAAAGTTGCATTTTGGGAATAGCATCATTAAACTCGGAAGATTCTCGCACTGCATGGAAACATTCGCATAGTGCCGTATCTATGGCATATTTTTTTTTCTCAAGTTCAGGGGTGAAGATTTTACACTACTCCATCAATACGTTATATTTTCTCGGCATGATAGCCAAAACAAGAACGAAGGGGTGTCACAATGGCGTTTACACCCGTCCAGGGTGAGAAGATGCAGACACTCTTGACCCGAGTTCACAGAACCTTCAAGTTTCCTCTGTAGCTTCTCTCACCCCCACCAAAACGTCCCTCAACCATTCACTCTCTCTGGCCTCATCTTTTCCAGCCTTCACCAAGCCAGCGCCTGACTAGTCGCCCTCACCGGCTTCGCATCTTTCTGCTCTTCCGTACCCTTCACCACATGACCATGCTCATGACCCTCCTCATGTTCATCCTCCTCGCTCCTCGGCAGCAACACCGCAACATCCCAAACCAAGCCAAACCTCTCCGCCAGCTCGGTCCGGATAATCTGATCCCACTTCTTGATGAGCGGATGTGCTAGCGCAATATCAGGAAAGAGAATTTCTGGCTCTGCTTCTTTTTCCTCTCTCTTTTGGCCCTCCTCTTCCATGTCCTCTTGATCCCTCTGTCGCTCTTGTTGTTGCGGTTGCTCTCGCTCAGGATGTTGATACCGCTCATGCTGCTCCTCTGTCTCCCCTGGGACCTCAAACTTCCAAGTCCCATCCTCATCCCAGTACTCCTTGCCGTAGATACTGTGCACGCTGAGATCCTTTTCTGCTTCCACCAACAACCTCTTGACTCTCTCCTTGATATCCTCCTCCCCTTGTCCTTCATCATCCTCCTGCTGTGGTGGTCTGCGCCCCTTCGCCGACGAAGAAGAGCCAAGAGAAAAACTCAACCCCTCCAAAACCCCCAACAATTGCCCCGCCATCGCGCCGATCGTCGCTCCCAGCCCAAACCCCTCGTCAAACCCAGCCTGCACGTGCTCGGCTTTGGCAACGGTGATGCCATCACGATAGCCGGCTGTGGTGTGTTCCTGTTGGAGGCGGGGGATGTCTGACGGGTGATTATGCCCACCATGGCCTCTCACCGTTGCTTCGTGATGATGATGGTGATCTTCATGTGAGTGGGAGTGAGCATGTGAGTCGTCGCCCCAGACATCATCATCGTTGTCATCACCATCGTCGCCCCAGACGTCATCCAATGTTGTGTTGCTGTTGTCCTCAACGGAAAGGGTAGTATCATCTGTTGGGTTGTGGTATTCGACTGCGGGTGCTGTGGGAGCGACACCGGCGCCGGCGTTGTTGGTGATGCGACCGGATGAGGACATGGTGGTGAAGAGGTCGGGGTCTTCTCTGGAGGAGATTTGGCGCATGAACATTTCTTTTTGTGTTTCAAACCAATTGCTGCGGTGGTGGGTGAGACGACACGTGGATCTGAGATAGAACTAAGCGCTGATTCGAATTGAGATATGGCGGCGTCGGCATGCGGCGCTTTCGTTCCATGTGAACTCGAAAAAAAAAAAGGTCAAAACGCATTGAATTTGTCATCGTGGGTCTAGAGTCACCTTCAACCCTAACCCTTTTACAATGGAGATCGATGGATTGGGTGATGCCATTGTCAAAACTCTTTTATCCGATCACAATGTCACTTGGCTGTTATGTGACGTTCGCACTGACGATGTAGAATCTGTTCTCCATTGGTATACCCCAAAACACCTAAACCGCTAATAAGGTTCCCAAACACGTCTCATCCAATAACGCCCCGCCACCCCTCAAATAAACTTCTTCTCAAACTTCTTCAGCATGCCCGTCACTCCCCTCTCCAACTTGCCCGCACCCTCTTCTAGCCTACCCTTCTTCTGCTCAGGCACATACAACTGATGGTGGACCCCATACTCTTGCTGACCAGCGACATTTTGTCCATAACCCGCTCCTTGCTGCATCGACGGCGGTATCGGCGACGGCGCAGCCACGTAACTAGCACCAGGTGGCGTGGGAGTAGGAGGAACGGCTCCGTAGCCGCCAACCGCAGCGACCGAAGCAGGTTGTGCTGGGTATCCTTGGCCATATGGGCTAGCAAATCCAGGGCTGACGAGACCGGGACTGGGGAGCCCACCAGGCATGGTGACAGACCTTTGTACGCCGGGGTGTACGGGCGGTTGGCTGAGGCCTGTCGGGTAGCCACCTCCAAGCGCGCCGAATCCCTGGGGCGCGAAGCCGGGCGAGGTCACGCTGTGCTGGGGAGGAGCAGCAAAGGTCGGAGCTCCAGGCGGGTGCTGTAGGTTTGGCGGAGGAATGCCTGGGCTCAAGGGCCCGCGACCGCTGGGGGGAGGCAGGCCTGGTGAGAAGGGAGTGGTCGCATCGTAGGCCAGAGTCTGGTGCAACGGATTCACCGCGGCATCCTCTGGGGGAGGCGTTTTCTCGCGGTATCGTACGGGTTCGGCGGCAGGTGGCGCAGCCGGGTTATAGGCCATCGGAACGAATGCTTGAGGCGATGGTGTCGAGTGATCGTGGGAAGCAGACACTGCAGACATGGGCGGCGGAGCAAAAGACTGGATTGCGCCAACTTGCGGAGGCTGTGATAGAGTGGTCGGGGGTGTACCGTGGTCAGCGATTGCTGCCCTCTCGAGTTGCTGGACTACCGCGCTGACTTCGGTATCGTGCCGAGGAGGCGGTCCTGGCTCGTTGTGGACATCGCACTGGTGAGGAGGGAGCACACGCCGGATGCCATTGACGAATTGCAGAGCATCTTGATGGTTGTGAAAGTAGATGTCGAGCGAGTGAAGTTTGTAGTGGTACTTGGCCTGGTTATGAGGGTCGAATGTTGGTAGATGCCACTCCTCGTAGCCCTCGACCTCGCCAACCGTCAAAGTCACAAGGCAGGTGTGGTTGTAATCGTACTCGAGATGGGTTTTGTCGAGGTCTGGCGACACATGGTGTTAGCCTTCCCACTGTCGTCCCGAGCTATCACTCTGAAATCCTAATGCTTACAGCCATCGAAAGCATCCTGATCTTCCCTTCCAGGTTGGTTCGCAATCTCCAGCCGTGCGCGCCCCAAGTTGGCATCTTCGAAGAGGTATACATAGGAGCCCTTGTCGAACCTGTGATGAGGCGGGTTATTTGTTGGAGGGCCGTAGAAGTAATGGATATCACCAAAGCTATGAAGCGAATCTATCAGTCAGAATGCGCCCAGGAAATATCACCTCTTTATGGGATCAACGGAAGACAAACTTACAACGTGCCGACGTTCTCCTCTCCTTCACGGGCGGCCATCTTTTGTGACCAACGAACTCGCTTGAGTGAACAAACACAACAACACAATAACGGTAGAAAGGATTGAGAAAACTAAAAGACAGCAAACTTTCTCAGCTTCCCAACCGAGGGCTATCACGCCTAATATCAGAGATGACGGAACCCAAAGAAAACAAAAGCCACTCGGCTTCCGCGTCTTTGCGACAGTACCCTACCTCTTAATACCCTTGCAGGAGACCGTGGTCTGGTTCTTCACATTCGGCTCTCACTCCATGGCGCAATCAGCACACAGCCATCCAACCAGCGCGCACGATAGGTCGGTGATGCGACCCCTAGTGCCGGTAGAAGTGACCTTGCCTGGTGGTTGCATCGTCCTGGATGGTCACTGGATGGTCCGCCTGGGCGCTTAAGGTGGGATGCCAAGAAAGAAGCACGAGCAAGTCAATTGTCACACTCTCCAGTCCTTCTTTCACAATTGACGAGGACCTAGGGAAAGGAGCGGGAGGGAAAGACAAGAAAAAAGGTGGGGTACCTAAGCAGGATCCATCCCAATAACCTGAACCTGGAGAGCTACATAGAAAGCCCCACCGGGCAGACACCTTTGGCTAGCCTCTCTGGCCCACGGGAGGGAGGCCTTTCAGGGCAGCAGGGGTCTCTTCTGCAGTGACTTTGGTGCAAGGCACAGTGGAGGTCATTCACTCTTTCAGCGCTCAGGTCTTTTTTCGAACCATCCCTGCCCGTCCTCCACACGGCCCCGGCGGCCAAGCAAACGCACGCACGCCCGCCAGCCCGTATGTAGTGCCGTACGGCAGAAGCGGACAGGGCAGCAGGGGGACAAAAAATCGGCAGCACAACTACCTGACGGAGCCACCCCGATCGAGACCTCGAAACCGCAATTCGCATCCGGACCCCGTTGCGCGCCGCATTCGCGACTCCCGAACCTCCACTTGTTTTTACGGCTCCTCCGAAGTCCGAATTCCTCCATCACGACCACCGACCCGTGACGGCCACCCAACTGTGCGCAACAGCTACGGTCTCCCGATTTGTGTGCGTTGCAATCTTCTTTTTTGTTTTTTTTGTTTTTTTTGTGTCCCGCGAAACTTCATCGGCACGCCTAGACTAACCTCAAGACGCCCCGTCGCTGCAGCACCGATTCCTCATCCGCATCATCCTTCTCTTCATCCCGCAAGGTCCCCAGTTCGCCGCCGCATCTCCCGAGCACTCTACTCCGGACGGACCAAGCCATACCAGCCGATCGACCCGACGACTTACGCGACGACGGTCGACTTCTCTCTCTTTATAACCCACCACCCAGTACATACCCAATTTATCTCTTCAGCAACACAAAAGTCCCACACGGGCATCACCAACCTTCAAAATGGGCATTCAACAAATCACCAACATGTGCTCGCACCTCCAAAACGCCTCGCGCGCTCGCCTGGGCCTGACCTCTCTGCCCAACACCAAGTACAACCTCGCCCTCGCCCTGGCCCTGCACCGCGCAGGCTTCATCTCCTCCATCACGCGGGGCGGTCCTCACCCGCCCACGCCCGAGGCCCTTATGACCTACGAGCCCGAGCCCGTGACCAGTGCCAACGTGGCCACGCGCCGGTTGTGGGTGGGACTCAAGTACTGGAACGAGGAACCCGTCCTGAAGGAGCTGAAGCCGATTTCGAAGCCCTCGAGGCTGGTGACTGCCTCCCTGGAAGAGCTGAACCGTGTGGCAAGGGGCTTTCCCGCGGGATACATGAAGGGGTTGCAGCTGGGCGAGTGTTTGTTTGTGAACACTGATAGAGGTGTGTTGGAGGTTAGGGAGGCAGTGGAGAGGAAAGTTGGTGGGCTGGTTTTGTGCAAGGTAAAATAGATGGGTAGAAGAAGAAGAAGGAGGGTCTCAAGGATGGACGGTTGGGATAGGACATGGATTTGGGAAAATGACGGCATTGTTGGGAAGGAAAGGGAGAGGAATAGAAGAAGAGGAGGAAGAGTCACCGCACTTTGGGAGGATCCCAAACCTGAAATGGAGCCAACCATTTCTGTGCGCAGTGTACGATACGGATGTCATTCCATTGTACACTAGACGACTTAGCAAGACTGGACAAACATGGAAAGGAATAGACATTGGCAAAGCAGAGCTCATCCTTGGTTCTTGCCATGTGAATATGAGGTATGAGGCCAAGAAAGACAACGAGCTGGCATCCTGTATGCTATGATCTATGCATGACAACCAAATCATCAGCACTCACTGTGGAAACAGATTTCACCAATACTAATAAGGAAAGGAATCAATTCATCCTGCTCCAGGGTGCTGTACAACCCACTATCTGCTATGCATTCATACTTCATGCGTCGCCAACTTTCTTACAAATGTGTGATTGGTCTTTCTACAAAGGTATCATGAAATGTGCTAACCCAGTAACACTGCATCCCCCTCTTTCACTGTCTCGAACAAGTAATAGGGGTGATTAAAAAAGACTCTACAGGCCAAAAAGCGATCGCATCCACCATTTCTGGCTTCCTTTTACGAATCAGAAGTGTGCTTAAATTCCGAAGTGCTGGCAGACTTCTCCTCGCCGTGCTCCTAGATGTCAGCATCGGTGGTATCAACAACCTCGGCAGCGGACAAGGGGGCAGCTTCAGTCTCCTGGGCTGGCATCTCCTCCTTAACATCATGAACGTCAGAAGTGGGGGTTTGGGGAGCACCGGCAGCCTCCGCGTCCGACGGTGGTACCGAGACCTCCTGGGTAGCTTCGGTGGCTTCCTCTACCGGCTGAGCAACTTCTTGGGGAGTCTCAGTCACAGTGGGGAGGGGCACCTCAACAGCTTCTTCTGCCTTGGGAACCGGCTCAGCCTTGGCCGCAGCTGAACCAGCACGAGACTGTTTCGGTGTCGTAGCCGCAGATGGTGCTGCAGATTTAGTGGCAGGTTTTTTGGTCCGTGGCTTGCTGAGACTTCTCTTCGCGGCAGGTCCGGGGGTGGCCGATGACCTCCTGGGTGGGGATGTGACAACCTTCTCAGCGGTCTTGGAGGCGGATGCCGCGGTTGGACGCGTCATGCGTGCCAAAAAACCTTCGTCCACTTCCTTCTCCTTCTTCGTTGGCGGATGATCCTTCGCAGTCTGCTTCACAGGCACACCTAAACTAGGGCGAGGCCGGTTCTTGGTCGAGTTCTGTCTCTTGAGGGTCGAGGTGGCCGTTTTCGGTGCCGACATAGTAGAGGATGGCACTCTCGCTCTGCTAGAGGAACGGCTAGCCGGGGTAGGACCTCGCTCGCGAGTCTGCGACTGGGCGCGCGCATTGCCGAGCTTGGAACCAGAAGCAGCCGTATGAGTGGTGAGGCGTTCTGGGAGAGCGGCTGGGCGTGTAGGTGACTTGGCCTTGGGCTTGGAGCTTCCAGTGATGACAGGAGATGGGGCCAAGGACGATGGCTTTTTGTTGAGCGAGGAACCGAAAGATTTCGTGGTCTTTGCCGCCGAAGGCTTCGGGGTAGCGGTCTTGCCCGGAGTCTGACTGGATGCGGTCGTAGGGCTTTTCGCCTTGGGGGTTTCAGCAATGATGGGGGATTTGGCAGGCTTAGCTACTGTCTTGTTGGCCGAAGACGTTGAAAGAGGTGGGAGGTTCGATTTTGTTGTTGTTTTCGGGACGGTCCGCGCCGCCGGCTTGCTGGGATCTGTCTCTTTGTCTTTGCCAGCCCCGGCTCCATTGGGTGCCTGCGTCTTCTCTGCTGACTTTGAGTCACTCTCCGTAGTAGATAAGCTGGTAGCCCCATCTAGCTCCAACCTCTTGGGTTCCGCCGATGCGCTAGCCGAAGATTCTACATTCTGTGCTCGTGGTTCTTGAGCAGAGTGTATCGGACTCTGAGCATTCTGGTTCGCTTTTGGAGACTCGGCCGGTATACGGTTCGCCTCGGGACTCGCCGGTGCTGATGTTTTCTCCATAATCTGGTCAACGGCATTGGCTTTTTCTGATGGAGCAAAAGGACTTGTGATGTCGCCTGGGCCGGCTGGGGCTTGTTGTGTGGGCGTCTCGGAGTCGTTGCTGCCTTCCCGTTGAAGCCCGAGTCTTCCACCTTTCTCAACCGCAATGAAGCTCGTTTTAATCTTGTTCAAAGGCCTAGGAGAATCGGCTAGAGGTTGAAAGAGACACTAGCTATTAGTCCGGTCCATGCATAGTGTGATGTTGTGGTTGATAACAACACCCAAGATGACCAGTGCAGTTGGAGAAGAGGTAAACAGGTGATGGAAATGGCGACAATTGGAAGTGGAAGATGGCGGAACAGAAGACTGCTGCTTACTTGGAGAGATGACTGGCGACCTGCCACGATCCGGGGGACTCGTCTCCCCCTTCTGCTCGAACATAGCCCGAAGGTTCTTAACCGCGCTCATGGCTGCTGACTTTTTCGAGCTCGAGCAAGACCTAGGGAAGTTGAGAAGCGTCGGGCCACGAGGTGATGAGTAGTAGGTTGTGGCAAGGTGGCAGGAGCGGTTGGTTCTGGTGATTTTTGTAGCCGACAGGTCCAAGTCGACTGGAAGAGAAGAAGGATCTGACTGTTTGTTTAAGGGAAGTCGAGGATCGTGGTCGCGTCGGGAAGGAGAGATCGGGGCAAACGGGCGTGCCTCCTTTAAGCCCCTGGACCCTGCGCAAGGGGTCTTCGTGTTGTAACAGACTCGAAGCGGCTTCCCCACGCGCCACTATAAGGAGGAGCTACGGTCCTGACCCGAGGAACAGGGACTCTGGAGGGACGGGAAGCGATGCGCGCGTGGAGCTGGCGACGCTATGACGAGAAATCGGGAGAGCTGTTTGCTTGTAGGGATGTCCGTAGAACGTGTCGCGGATAATTGTAGCGCAGAAGTTGGGGGAGTGTCAGCGACACTTGGCGCGATATATGTAGATGGATGTTGATGAACAACAATGAACAGAATGATGAGGGATAAACTTGAGGTAGGTAGAGGTAGTGTGGTCAGAGAAAGAGACAAGCAACTATCGCAAATTCCCCAGATTTACGTGGTGCTACCGGGCAGTCGAGGGTTTACACTACAAGTGACGGCCGGGGCGCGTTTAATGAGCAGTGCTTTAAAAAGTACGGCTACTTCAGGCGAGCGGAGTCGCACTGCAATAGCGTATGTGGCGCTGGGTCTTTTGATGCAGACAAGGGAAGTGCACGTCGCTGCAGGTCCATGGGTACCTATGTACGCAGTAGGCCTTGACTTTGTTTTGCTGAGAGGTCTTTGGATCGGAATAGGAATCCCGTTATAGCCACTGCCCAGGCGGCACGAACCAACCAATCCGAGACTATTTCCAGACATTTGCCATTGAGGCTATCGTAATGGAGAAGAAAACTCTTCCAACAGACTGGCACGTTCACGATGAGGTGCCACAGAAGCTGAAGGCTGCGTGTTGGCCTAGGCTCTTGCATGAAGCTATTGGCTGTCACAAACAGTCTAAATTAAGGAGCTTTTTGGGGGGGTTGTTAGTGCTAGCCGGTGTTGGTGGTTGTGAGGTTGTGATTGGAAAGTCCATTTCAAGGGCACACATGTCAAGCTTTTACAACTTAAGACTCCCATCTTTCAGTCTGGCTGCCTTCCTTTCAGTTAATTGTCGTACAATCCTCGATGTTCACCATATGCCGGCTTGACACAGGCACGCAAACATACATACTCACATCCACGGACATCTCCCTCTCTGGATCATACATCCCGCTCCTGTATGTGGCCGGCGGATAGCTCTCCGTGACAAACGCTTGGCGCCCTTCAACCCGATCTCGCGATGTTTCAAGTCAGTGTTTCGCATTGGAGGTGCCCCTGGCGCAATAGACGATGGAACCGGACTCCCATCATGACACCCAAACCTCGAAACGACCGGCGTCCACCTAATCCACACGTGGAATCATGCTACGTTGACATTACCACGGCCTGTGGACTGTCCATGAGGACACGTGAAAATGGGCAGCGCTGGCGATGCCGAGAGCATATATGGCCTGCTCTCTCCATGTTTTCTGAAATGACGTCCTTTGGAGACGGATACTCCGAGTCTTGTCATCTTTCCCAGGTTGTCCTTCACTCTCCGTCACTGCCGCCTCTACCATGCTGCGTAAGCCAGAGATGTCGAGGCATAGGCACTCTACAGTAGATCACCTTACTGACAGGCCATCCTGGAAAAGTTGCGGAACAGCCCGCAGCGATCAATAAACCTGGAGAATGCTGCATGTTTACTTCCCAAACAGGCTAGTCTCTTTGTTGAACATGCCATTAGTCACTTCACTATGGCGCTTTTGGTCCGATCCCGGCCCTGGTGAGCCATGCTAAGGTATGATTCGTCCAACATTTTGGAAGCTATCCGCGGTACTTTGTCTTTTCCTCCGTCGGCATTTCTCCACTCCTCGAGACTTTTTCCTTTTTCTCTTCTACAAAGTCACTTGTAACAGAAAAAAAAGATGGCGGCCAGGACTCTGAAGATTGGTTAGCAGCTTCCTAACCCTTTCATCTCTCCCAATGTCTTCATCCAATGCTGCTTGCTGCTGGGAAAAAACAGCGCCCTGCTAATCACCCCGCTTTCTGCCAACAGGTCTCATCCCCGGTGATGGCATCGGCAAGGAAGTCATTCCCGCCGGCCGGCGCATTCTCGAGGCTCTCCCGGCCTCTCTGGGCCTGAAGTTCGAGTTCATCGACCTCAAGGCCGGCTGGGAAACCTTTGAGCAGACCGGCAACGCCCTGCCCGAAGAGACAGTCTCGATCCTCAAGTCCGAGTGCGACGGCGCCCTTTTCGGAGCCGTCAGCTCGCCCACCAAGGCCGTCAAGGGCTACTCCTCTCCCATCGTCGCCCTGCGCAAGAAGCTCGACCTGTACGCCAACGTGCGCCCCGTCAAGTCGGTCCGGGGCCCC